TGTACAGTTATATGTTTAGGAATGTTGAAATGCAGACCATAGTCAGAAAACTGAAGACGGTAGACTTTATGTCAGCATGAATCTGAGCAATGAACGTTATTGGTTGACTGATTTACTGACAGTTGGCACTTTTCCCGAGTGTTTAAGATGTATTCCCGATTCCCAAGCCTATTTCTGGCTCTCTCCCATGATCCAGCACTCTTTTATCACTCTGGGGTTTTGGTACGGGGTCCACAGTCATCCCTGTATTTAACGTGTGGCTGCCTGGGTCTGTGATGCTGAGGAAGTTGTGCTCAGCTCTGATGGTTTTTATGTGCTTTTAGAACTATGAGCGTTGTTGGAAAGGTGTTACATAACAGCGCCGTTTGAGCACTATGTTTAGAACAGGCCCCCAGTGAGAGGGGAAAAAAACCATGAGAACGCTGATCAGATGAACGCTATGGCAACCTTTTCATTTTCAGGTTACAAGGAGCACCGTGACATGCATTCGAGCGAAATTCAAGCTGATTCCAGGTCAAACCGATAGGGAGACGCTCTGATGTTCTCACAGAGTGATGACTAAATTTGGACGTTTGTTCAGTATCTATTAATATATTTTTGTACTTGGTTAAAGTTGTTCCATAAAAGGTAATATGTATTTATAAATGTGCAGATTTTTCTATGTACAATTGATTTTTTCCCAAATTTAGTTCTTGTAGGCCTATTTTAGGATAGCAGAGAGAGAGAGAGAGAGAGAGAGAGAGGGAGCGCAAGAGAGAGAGAGAGATGACAGAACGATGACTCATCACCTTATTTACAGAAGGGCATGCAATATTCATGCCTTTTTATACTGTCATTGTAAAAGCAGCAGCATGTTTGTTCTCCATAGATCCATGTGTTCTCCTGGTCTGATATAACCAGTAAAATTACTTTTCATTAGATTATGTGCTTTCAGAATAAACAAATGGCAGATTTTAAAGAGGTCTTCAGTTCTTTTACTTCATATTAAAACCATGTTTGGATCATCTCTATCCAACCCTGCCTTTAAAGGGAAACTCTGGTCAAAATGCTATCGGAACAAAACCTTGTATCTCCATTTTTCAGTTTTTGACATAATTGACATGATGAATGGACCAAAAGAAACGGCCCAAAATGACTTGGAAAAAAGTCTGGTTCCATTGACTTACATTAAAAATAAAGTATGTTTTTTCCTTCTCCTAAAGTTCCCATTTTGGAGATACGAGGTTTTGTTCCAACAGCGATGTGTTAACATGCTTACTTGCATTCAACAGCAGTGCCATTGTAGACTCCATGGAGAGGTTTTCTGGTTTAAACACTATGAAAACCTCACCTTCTGATGATGTATCTTGTGAGAGGACCATTTGAAAAACTACTAAACTGGGGTTTGCTTTGGTGTGAAATTTTATCCTTATTTTTAACTGGTAAATACAGAAAGAAAGCAGATATTTATAAGGTATATAAGGAAAGCAGATAGCAGGTAACCACTTTGAAGTCCAAAATCATACTGTATTAACCTCTTAAACAGCCAAGGCCTGTCGGCAGGCCCAAAGTCCTATTACACACTTCCCTGTAGTGGTCCCTGTAGTGATAATAAGCCTTAGTATGTAATAAGCCTAGGATTTTAAGGGGGTCTTCAAATCATCATTACAATGGAGAGAATGGATTACCTGAACAACAGAAATGACTCATCAGATGAGGAGGACACCGAGCTAAAAGCTAAAGATAGCAAGGTAGCTGGCTATCCAGATACCTTACCCCAGTTTGGCTTCTCTTCTGTGGCAGAAGGGGTATAAAACTTGGATTGCATGGATGTGTGATGTACATACTAAGTATTGTAATGAAAGAACACTGATGAATAAAAACATGAAAATGATATAAAAGCATGAATTCAGTCAAACCAATGAGGGCCACAATGCTGTGCTACAGAATACTGATTCATACTATAGCAATAAACTGTAATTTCAGACTGAAATGCCTCTTTTAATACAGCGACTTTATGTCGTTCACTGAAAATGGGCATTTATGAGGTAGACCAGACATCCCTGTCTGGCGTGGGGATATACTACTGCTTTGAAGAGCAGATATGAATAATAGATCAGAGACGAAAGGCTGTTCTTGTAGTGGAATTTCCCCCTCCCTTTTTTGTGGCCTGCATTTTATGAGCTTGCCTGTGATAGAACAAGTCTGCCGTTTACAGTATTCATGAAGTTCAGTCTTCCCTCACGAACAGGAAGAAGTTAGAATTATCTAAAGTGGACAACGGCAAGTCTCTCCTGTTACCAGGGCGTATGATTATACAGTGGGGTCAGTGGTTTCTAAGGCATTATCATCATACACAATCGTTGGAGAGGATGTCGGTGGTGTAATGAGCAGATACTTTTGCCAGAGTCTTATTGTCTTCACACCATCCTGTATCATCTCGCCATGTTCTGGAACCATGTTAGCTTGTGTGTTGTTTGGCTGGTTTCTTAGTGAAGTAAACAAGGTGGTGTAGGAAGAGCTGTCTTGATAGCTGACATTTCAGTACAAAACTCAATTTAGTATATAACTCAATGAAGCCAAGACCACCTGTGTTGAGTTCAGATCAAGATCAAGTCAAGAATGAATCAAAAGACCAAGCTGAGACTGACTCGAGTGGGAGCGAGTCAAGAGCAAGACTCCAAAAAATTCCTCTTCGAGGCCAAGGCTCAATCTCAAATGGCTGCCTGCTCCCTATGCAGTTATGAAATTTTAGTTTCTACACCCAAATAGTGCACTGTGTCCAGTAGGGTTAACTGTGCACACATGTCTGAATCCCAAATGCTTTTTATTAGACATATCATGCACTGTTTGGGTGCAGGAGGCAGTATTTTGAGTTTTACGTAGTGCATTATGTAGGGAGTCGGGAACCATTTGAGATTTGGCCCAAGCTTTAACTAGTGTTTCACTAATTCCAGTCCAAATTTCCTGATTTTTTCCAATTATGTGGTGGAGTCATTTAAAAGTGAACTATGTTCCAAACAGATGCACCTAGAATTATAGAGTGACTTTCATTTGGCTGCTTAACCCTTGTGTGGTGTTGATGTGTTTGCTACTCAGTGGTCTGGCGGACCCACCGCATTATTATTTTTAAATCAATACAGGCATAACAATTTATGTAAAAGTACCAGACGTTTAAAATATCACAAGTGTCCAGCGTAGGGTTCTCCTGTAGCAGCTGTAGCCAGTCAGCAGCCTGTCCGTGTTGTCCACCCACATATACACACATATACAAACACATACACACACAGACACACACACACTAACAGCAGGCCATGTAGGAGAAGATCAGAGTGAAGGACACAGCACCTCCACACTTTTACTCCCGCAGGTTTACCCAACACCACATGTGTAGTATAAATGTGTGGGGGGTGAACAGAGTGAAGACACTGAAAATGGATTATTTTATCCGATCTTAACAGAAAATGAGCAAAGGACAAGAATCTGAGGTTTAAATTATAATAAATCATATCATTTCTTCTTTTGGTAAACATTGAAAATAGGTCCCACAGATCTGAACACCACACAAGGGTTAAATGAAATGATGTAGTTACATAATTAATGACTGACATAGATGTGTATTTATTTACATTTCCATTGAGTTCACATTAAATATGTTCTCTTCTACTTACAAACGCAAATGTGCTTGTTTTCCAGAACAACTGACTAAATAAAGCACAAACAGATGCAATGATCTGTTTGTGAGTTGTTTGAGTGAGTCATTTTAAATGGTAGCAGGACCAGACAGTAAACTTGAGAAGACCAGTGACAAATATAGCACCAAAAAAGGGTTCCGCTATTGTTACGATGTGAACCTTGTAACAATAGAAGAACTTGTTTTGGTTCTTTAGATTGATGGAGTGTGTGTTGTACCTGGTTCTATATAGCACCAAAAAAGGGTTCTGCTATTGTTACAATGTGAACCTTGTAACAGTAGAAGAACCCTTTTTGGTTCTTTAGACTGATGGAGAGCGTGTAATATACGGTTCTGTATAGCACCAAAAATGGTTCTGCTTTTGTTACAATGTGAACCTCGTAACAATAAAAGAACCCATTTTGGTTCTTTAGATTGATGGAGTGTGTGTTGTACCTGGTTCTATATAGCACCAAAAAAGGGTTCTGCTATTGTTACGATGTGAACCTTGTAACAATAGAAGAACCCGTTTTGATTCCTCAGACTGATGGAGAGCGTGTTGTGTATGGTTCTATATAGCACCAAAAAAGTTTGTGTTATTTTTATGCGTGTAAGCTTGTAACAGTAGAAGAACCCTTTTTGGTTCTTTAGATTGATGGAGTGTGTGTTGTATATGGTTCTATATTACACCAAAAAGGGTTCTGCTATTGTTATGACGTGAACCTTGTAATACTAGAAGAACCTTTTTTGAATGCTTTTCAAAAAGGTTCTATATAGAACCATATACAACACATTCTCCATCGATCTGAAGAACAATTTCACCATGCAAAGAACCATTTATAGCACGAAATGGCTCTATATACACTGCCTTTACGAACCCTAAGAACCCTTAAAGAACCCTCTTTTTAGATGCGTACAAGTACTCTTTACTAGTTTAAGTGTTTTTGATTCATATTTTACATACATATAATGTTCGTATTGTCGTACTACTAGAACAGAAGCACTTAAGGAACTCATTCATGGTAGCACTTATTAAATAACTCTGGGTTAAATTCCATTCCTGGTCTACCGATCGATACGAAGTGGCGTGTTTTCGGAGTTTTAGGCGTGTCTGTCCCTTTAAAACAGTATCCAGAGCGGAGAAACATCTGGTTGTTGAATGAAACCCAGCCATTCATAAAAACAGCCCAGAGCTTGGCTGCGATTGGCTGCCGATGGCTTAACACATACCGAAGCCCTGCGCGGCCTCCCATTGGACGCTGGCGTGAGTGACGCGAAGAGTCAGCCAATGAGCGCGCTCTCCAGCGTCGAGCGCTCTCCCTCGGAAAAGCAGGCGAGTCCATTGAGAAAATTTCAGTCTGGCTGAGCTGAAATACGGAGAGCGCCGCGCCGCGCCGAGTCGTGCAGGAAAGCGCCCCGTGTTTGCTTTGGGATTGAATCTAATCGCTGGAGCTTCTGAGTTCAGAGGATTGAATCACTGAAGGGTGAGTATCTTTGCACGCGCTGTATAAGCTTCTGTGATGTTTAGGCTGAGTGCAATAGTTTTTTCCTCTTCTCGAAGTTCAGATCACTTGCAGCTCGAGGTTCAGTTTATGCTCCGGGCTCTGTGGAGCGAACGCCATTTTCTTCGTGCTTATTTGAGCCACCATTTTCTTGTTGTTTTTCTCACGCTTTTATGGTTTTTGTTAGTTTCTAAAGCGAAAACGTGTCGTGTGTGGATCTCAGAAGGCATATGGTCTTAAGTAAAACCTCATTGGAGAGGGGGGTAGTGGTGGTGGGGGGGGGTAGTGGTGGTGGGGGGGGGGTCGCATTGGTTTGTGCTGCAAGTGTGGTGGGATTTATGAATGGCGCGTTTGAGGGGTTTTTTTTTCGCGAGGGATCAAATTTCACTTCATTGAGAAAAACAAGAGGCCTAGGGGAGGGGACTGACTGAGAGAGGGGGGGTTGAACTTCTTGAACTCAAAGCGCCTTATGGAGTTAACCCTTTCCTGTGACTTGATAATATATTTTTATGAGGCTGTTTACGGGGAAACTCCACCAATTTTTCAAATTTCCTGAATAACTCGGTAATTCAGAGTGGTTTGACGTGATGTGCTTATTGCAGAGAAACATACAGACTGATAGAAATCGAGAGGTCTCGATGTCTACAACCCAAATATAGCCGTTTTATTTACTGTCCAAAACAAATAATGTGGAGGATGATGGTAAAATAGTCATAAATCTGAAAATAATAAGTTTTGTTTGGGAACTACTTCACCTCACAAAGCTCTGCGTGTATCCCTCCGCCATGAGTGTGTTAACAATGGGTTTAAATACATTTAAGCCCAAACTTTTTCACAAAACTATCATAAAACAGTGCGTCAGACACGAGGCAGCAAATATCTGACCACTTCATGTGACTGTTTAACTTTCTGTGAGGGAGCTTTTAGAGGTGGACGTCTGGTTCCTATCACCACCACTGTTAACAGTTCTGACTCGGCTAGTGTCTCTAGAACGGAGCATTTCACACCAAAGCACACTGTTGAATTTTTAAAAAATTGGTGGCGTTCCCCTTTAAAGCCGTCCCAGCTTCTGTGTGTTTATACTCTGGCCGAAGACTATTACTTTATGACGGGCGAATCCTTGATCGTGCAGCTTGTGCGTGAACCTTAACGTCCCCGTTGGGAATCCGCGATAATCTAGAGGAAGCAATAAGATGAAAATGAATGTTTAATTACGTCTTATTTTGTTGCGCCGCTCGCCAAGATCCGCTATGTTGTCCCCTTGGCTCGGTACCAGCAGCAGTAACGCTACGTGCGTCAGGGAGGACAGACACGTGTTTGTGACAACGCACCAACATTTTTGTTCCCTTTTTCTCCCAACATGGTGAACTTTGTTCTGTATGTGGTGTGTTGATCTTACCCCCACCACCCCCACCACCACCACCACTGCCTCAAAGGCACCACAAAACCTTACATAAAATCAAACCCAGTTATGAACACAGCTCACTCAGGAAAAGCACTGAAGGCTGAACGCGTGTAATCAGTTACGTGCTCGAATATAGGGCTGGGCGATATGACGATATTTTATCATTATCGTGATCATTTTAGTCACAATATGCTTTTCTGAGCATATCGTGGATATTGGCAGTTCTTAAAAAAACTACATCGGTAACTACATGTGACAGTACAAAAATAAATGGGCCTATTTAAATAGATTTAGTGCATTTAGAGAATGAATAAAAATATTTGCATAATAATAATGTTACACTAGATGCTCTTTTTTGTCTGTTCCAACTTATTAAATCTAGGGAAAGAGATTTAATGATGCATATCGTGTATTGTGAAAGTGTTTTGGAGTATCGTGATATAATGTGATTGCCGTAATATCGCCCACCCCTACATCTCTATGCAGCACATGGGAAAACTATCAGTGATTGGCTGGTAGATTAATGCAATTCTTCTGTTAATGTTTCATGAAAAATTAATTAGGCATGCAACGGTCATTAATTTTATGGCCGGTGTTCCGATTCTAATTTCTTTACAGCCAAATTGGTCAATGGACTTTTTTTTTTTTATTAAGTCTTTTTAACTCCAATCTCACATGGTTGTGGGCTAAATGGACACGTGAAGTACATTCTAATAGCCAAACGCACAGTATGAAGTCATACGCATAAGTTTGGGCACCCCTGCGCGAATTACAACGTTTAGTTGATTTTACGTATAAAATAAATGAATACATTTCTGCATATTATAATGCACGATTATGGTTTGTTTGCTGTGTGGGGAGGCATAATATGGGCATGTGTAGAGTAAGAGGCAACTGCCTGTTTAGTATGAGTTAAACATTATTATGCTACAGTATGTAGTTATAGGTCACACTGAAGTACAGGCTCCCGCTATACACTATAAATTTGCACTATAATTTGCCAGATTTGCATATTGTGCATCCCTAACACTTACAAGAAGTTACAGAACTACCAACCTTTTTTGCATCCTTATTTTTTATTTTTTAATTTTATTATTATTTTAAAAATATTTTTTACATTTTTTGCTCTCATTGCCAGACTCAGACCCCTGCTGCTCGAACAATCCCCAAAGCCTGTCTCAGCTTAGCAACACTAGCTCATTAAACTGATTTATCAGTCCACTCATGCTTTAGCAGGAACTTCAGAGGGGCTGTTGAGTTCCTCTTTAAAGTGCATCCACCTAGATTCTACACACTGTACACTGACTTTAAAACAGTTAATAGCGAAATAATACACTGAATACAGACACTTAATTCCCATATTCAGAATACTTCTTATTACATCTCAACCCTGTTTGAATTTTCCTCTTTTTCTCCTTTTTTTCTAGTTAGGCTTAGCGAGAGTGGCTCTCTCTCCCTTGGGCAACAGATGGCTATGTGTGGTTATGTAAGGCCCCCATCTGTACCGTGAGGCTTAAATGGTGTGTGGTGTGTGTGTGTGCGCGCGAGTGAGTGTGTCGCTGTTCTTAAGCAGCATGCTCTGTCGGAAGGGGAAAAGAGTTAGTGTTCCACAAACAAACAAGCTGGTTGAAGGTGCCACACATCAAAGGGACAGTTGGTCTCGTCCTGTCAGTTTTAGGGACGTTCGCTGACAGCTGCCCAGGTCTCTGGCCGAGTACTCAGCTCTCTCTAAGTGCCACTTTTCTCGGCTCTTCCTTCACCAGGACCCGGCAGGCGAGAGGAGATCTCACTCGCAAAGGGAGATACCCATCCCCCCATCCCTCTTTCTCTCTCTCTGTCTCTCTCTCTTCTTCTCCAACCTGGTCCAGGCCTCCGGCCACGCTGCAGAACCCGCAGCATGGACGGCTTTTATGACCAGCAGGTCCCTTTCATGGTGCCACCCAGCGTAAGTGCCCATCCTTTTTTTCCATTTATAGTATTAGTAGCCAGTATAGTTTATAATAAATAGTCTTAGTGCTGGTGATGAGCATACTGTCACTGTCCTAACATGATCTCATGATAGCGTGTCCTTAAAGTTACTGTAAAACTGTCAGTTCATCATGAAATATTCACATAAAAGCCTGAATAAAATATGTTATGAAGCTTTGAAATGACAGGAGTGATCTATACAGTACATATGAATGCCACCATTGCTAACCGCCATCTATATTTGCAGAAATGTCATGCCGAGGAGCCGGCCTGCAGGCCGCTGAGTGACAGGAAGAGGAAGTTTGTGGACACTGAGCTTGCCCAGGACACTGAAGGTAAACAACTGCAGCCCCTTTGCTGCCGTAACTGCGGCCACAAGATATGATCCAAACAGAGCTGTACCATGTCATGTGACTCTCATGTGTAATCCTGAATTAATCCTCATATTTCCCCAGAGCTCTTTCAGGACCTGAGTCAGCTGCAGGAAATATGGATAGCTGAAGGTAAAATTCCTCTTGGTGGCAGACGGAACACTACTAGGCCATGGAATGTTTAGCTAATGATTAATTTCCCTATTAATTATTGTGATTTTTTTTTTAATTGTCTTCTTTGTTGTACATTGTGTGCAACTATTAAAGTCCAGGCCTAAAGTGGGCAGATTGGCTGTTTTAGTAGCTCCAGACTGACAATAGAAACAGCTTCAGCTCCAATAAACAAACATTACTCATTGCATCATAGATTAGAACTTTTGTTGTTTTCCTAAGACCCATAACATGTGTAATTAAATGTGATTCATGCCTTCTTTAAATTGTAAATGTAAATAATAGACAAGTATTCGATAAAAATGCAGCTAATCCACATTCTGTTTGATGTGACTTCAGACAAACATGATCGTAATCCCATGTTTTATGTCTTATACACTGTATATACTATAGTTTTCACCATAATGTTGAATATAAGTGCTAAGTTCTGGTTCTGAAATCGAATTGGCTGAGCCAGCTTTGAAGCCATTGCGAAATACTCAGTATGCACCTGTAAAGTCTGAGCAGTTTCTGTTTTACTCTTCTTTAAAGCACATTCAGAACCAGACTGAGCTCACTCTTTATCTTCCTCTGTCTCCAGCCCAGGTACCTGATGACGAACAGTTTGTTCCAGATTTCCAGTCGGATAACTGTGAGTATCTGATCCTAGAGTGTGCAGGCGGGGAGGGAATGGGATTGGTTGCAGGGCTGCCAGTAGCTACTTATTTGCATGTGTTTCATGAATTATTAATGACAGTCTGTAGAGTGAAAATTTCAGTCTTCGTGGACTGTCACAGATTTGATAATATCCTGATATTGACAGATAATGTTAATGGCCACTTTGGTTATGTCATAATAATATTTTATTTGGCCAGTTTTCATCTGCATCAACACATACTAATGATAAGAGGGAATGAGGTCTGCAGTGTCCAGGAAGTTTTTAACTGCAGAGTTAGAAAAACATCACTCTCACCAGTGAAACCACCACGTTGTAATAGGAAATAATGTAACACCATATCGTCACTGTCCAGAGAAACACATGTATCTACAAAACAATTCGTTTAAAGGAGAAAGATTAAAAAAAACATTCTGAACTTTTAATGTAATTTAATGTAAAGACATTTTATTTCAAGAGATTTTGGAGCATTTCTGTTGATCCGGTCATCATGACATTCTCACACAATGTAAAGAACAGCTGCTGAGCTAAATTATGCAGAAAAGTAAAGTAAAAAAAAAAAAAGTCAACAAAAATTGACTTTTTTAACAGTGATATGTAACAGCATACAGCAGTGTAACATTATGGTAGTAATAGTGAACTAGTTCTACTGCTTGTCACAGTTGATAAATTCTTTTTTTTCAGTACAGTGGCAGAAATAAAAGGTTAAAACACAAAGTAAGACCAACTGGGGTTGTCCCATTAGATTATGTACTTAGGTATTCGATCCAAACTGAAGTCATCACAGTGACTAAACCCATAAGATTAGATTTCAGAGTTAGGGTGTTGCTGTAATACGATCCCTGGTTAATTTTAAATATTTCATGTGTTAAATGTAACAAGACATAAGTGTTAAACATAAGTTAGCCACTGTTTGGTTAAAAGCCTTGGACCTTCTCTCGAAGGCCACTCGAAGATCATTGTGTGAGCTTTTTGGCCTTTTTTGCTTGTGTCCTTTGTGAGGAGGGGAAAAAATGGACCACTGAATGGACCTCAGTAGGGTTTCCAATTTTCATTCCAAGCTGTTCTCGAGTTCTGGGCTCCAAATGTTTGGATTGAAAAACTGTGCAGTGCGTGTGAGCTTGAGGGGGTTGTTGTGCAAGGGCCCAGCACACTACTGCAGTGCTGTAAATCACTGCAGCCTTCAGCAGAGTGACATTTTAATGGGCCGGGATACACACACACTCGCACACTCAAACACAAACACACTTACTTCATTATGTGGCGAACACTGGTCTGGCTGTTTTCCTTGTTAGGCTTTTTTTCCTCCCCTTTGGCATCTGAATACGTTTGGTTGCGTGTTCTATAGTGCTAATGTGACTTTGTGTGTCTTGCCAGCGTTTACACATGCATATGTTTGTATAGGGGGGGGTTGAGTTAGTCTGGCATGGTACTGCAGCTTTGGCAGAAGGCCTGTTAGACTCACAGGCCCCTCTTTCACCATGCCTTGGCAAAAGAACCCCTTTTCCAAGATCACGTGTTGGCCTATAGGTTCTAAGACCTCGTGACACGTTTTTGGAAGATATCAAATCTACGCCTTTTCGACAAACTAGGGCACATAGTGCCATTCATGCATTGCACTGTTCTCATGAAGTGCCAAGAGTTACTTGAGTGCTAATAGCTCCACCTTGTGGAGAATCTTCAGCCTGCTAAGTGTGAGTGAGTTACAAGCCAGGTCTACAAGGTGCCTCACAGCTAAAGACTTTCAAAAAGCATAAATACTTTTGGAACGGATTTCTGATTGACTTTATTTGGTAGAAGGTGGTGAAAATGGTTCCTACAATACCATAGAAGGATGGTCTCCTAAAGCAGAGGCTCTCAAACTGGTCTTCCGAGGTCCTACAGATGGTCCACATTTGTACTTCATCCCTATGTGATTGAGCAAAAATGTGGACCGTCTGGAAGGGGTTCTTGAGAAGCACTGCCCTAAAGAATCCTCTCAGTGGATGCTCGTTGAACGACCATGTTTGGTGATGAGATCTGGGGGTGTGAAGAGCCTTTTAACCCATTTTATCAATAAACCATACATCCCAGAACTTTCTTTTTAAGAGTTATTCAAACTGCCACTGTAAATGATGACTCTCATCCCCTCTTGGTTTGGTGATCTGGATTGGTAACGTGTGAATGACCTGTACTAAAGGCTTTGCTTATTGTTTTCTTCCTCTTTCCCTCTGCAGTGATGTTCCATGGCCCTCCTCAAACTAAAGTGAAGAGGGAGACGAGCCCGAGCAGAGAGTTTTCCCCCTGTGGACAGGAGCAGAGACTCTCCCCGTACGGAGAGAAGTGCCTTTACAACTACAGGTGTGTGTCTTAATAATCACCAACTCTGCTACTAGAGATTTACCAGCCTGCACAGTTTAGCTCTAACCTAATCCCCCACACCTGATCTAATTATTGTCTTTAAGTCCTCGATTAGCTCAATGAGTTAAGTTAGATTTGGATTGGAGGTGAACTTCAGGGAAGGTGCATCTCCAGTAGGTCCACTAATTAGGTTCTTCTGGTTTTTCTGTATTGGTGGAAATCTCAATAAAGCAGTTTTAATGTCTCTAAGTCTTATATTACAACACCACATTCTGGACAATGATATTTTGAACAACAGTCAAAAATACTGTTGTGCCGAACTCAACAGAGAGAGTTCAAGCTTTAGTTATTTAAATTTAAATTAGATTAGTTATTTAAATGGGAATTCCAAGAACTTTATGATATAAAGACATTCAGAACACTTTGATGTAAAATGAGCTGTTCTAGGGAAGCTTATCAAGTCATAATTGTTCATAGTGGTGGTGATCGAAACCAGGCTTCTTAAGAGTTTAAGGCCTCTAATAGCTCCGTCACGGAAAATCATTTCATGAAATGGTTATGAATACTATGCTTGTTGTCTGAGAGTGTGTTTTGTGATAGAGTATTGAAAATATTGGCCTTTTTTTTTTAATCTGTTTTTGGCAGAGAGGTACTTGCGTACTAATTGAAAATTGAGCAAAATTACATCTAAAACTCAGAGGATGTGTAGGTTATCTGGTAGTTTTGAAAAGTAAATTAATTGCCTATATTTGTGTCATAAACATCGCAACCTCTGGTTCCTATCATCTCTATTATAAGGAGTCATTAAGTTTTCTGTTATCATGAAATGTTTCTGAAAGACCCAAACTGACCACCCTTTTCCTTTTCAGTGCCTATGACAGGAAGCCATTTGGATTCAACAAGCCACTGACTTCACCGTCCACCCCTGTCTCCCCTTGTGACTCCTCCCACAACACAGGGACACACCCCCTGCAGAAGAGAGTAACACCCCCAATCCATACTCAGACACAGGGGCTGCCAGCACTGGCTGGCCACACCCACAATCCAAGCCAAAACCACCACAGAACGCAGACACCAGTTCACAGCCAAAGCCCACCTTTCGCAGTGCCCCACCCACCTGTCAGTAACCCAGATGCCTCCTACAGTACAGATCACAGGTATGCCCGTCAGACCTGAGAGCTTCCTTTTGTGGTCATTCATCACATGCTAGAGCCGCAATTACAAACAAATCATCATATTGTGATTCTATTTCTACGTATTTCGATTGCATTGACTTGTCTAATGTCCCACACAGTACTTATCAAAGAATGCCTGCGATTGGTCAGATACTCGCAGCACAGAATTAAGCCTTTTGTGATTGGTTAAAGGGCTTTTTTCATATTGCCGTCCATATAGTCCAATAGTATGAAAGTTGACTGCTAATTGATGTCAGTTGGCCGATGTCACGTCTTAATCTCTGTCTTGTGCCTGCATGGTCAGTAATCAGTGCTGTAATCAGCTAATGCTGTGCCATTGGGTATTAACCCCCTAATGATTCTACACTGACCTGGAAAGCGAAGCTATCTTTATCCCAGTGGTTTAACTCATGGAAATAAGCGTTGGAGGTCCTGTTTGCCCTTATTATAGTATACTTCATCTAATGCTCAGTGGTCATTCCATGTCCTCCATTCATTTTCTTAACTCTGCTTTTGTGATAACCATTTTATTATATTTTGGCACACATAGACTTAATTTCTTCTCTGCCACTAATAATAATAATAATAATAATAATAATAGGCCTAAAATAATGTTTTTAAGTGCCTCTGAGATCAGATGAATGGAAAAATTGTGAAGCAGATAAGAAAAGAGAGAACGAATGTATCAGGAACTTCAAACCAAACAGTAACCCTTTCGTTCTTATTCTTTTTCTCTCTAGGTTCCACAGGCAGCTTTCAGAGCCATGTCTGCCCTTTCCACAGCCCGATGCCCGCTGCGGGACACCCTACCCTCCACAGACCCAACACTCTTTCCCACGGGACAGTCGACCCCCCTACCATCGCCAAATGTCCGAGCCCCTGGTTCCAGTTCCTCCGCGAGGGTTTAAACAGGAGATGGTGGATCCCCGATACCCTGAACCGAGCGTGCCCAACATGGGAGCCTCTCGGGCCCCTTTGTTCCAGCAAATGTCCATCAAACAGGAGCCCAGAGACTTTGGCTTCGACTCGGGTAAGTGTGACTGGCTTATGAGCCGTGGAAATACTACATGCAGTATGTGATCTTAGTGTGAGATTATGGTGCACAATTGCAATTACGTCAAAGGCATGTATTTCTGTGAAATCTTTTCATTTGCGTTATAGCTCTCTCTCGCTCGCTTGCGCTGTCTGTCTCTCTCTCTCTCTCTCTCTTTTCCACTTGCTCTGTGATGGCGAGATGTGATGTAACAGCAAATCCTCTTAGTTCCTACTAGCTCTGAAATACTCTTGGCTGTGAATACTGAGTGCGTTTCAAAAGAGCATGTTTCAGACACGATAGAACACTGTGTTTTGGCATTATTGCTGGCTTGATTGCAAAGAAAGTCTCTACTTCCTCAGTATTTGCCTTTAATTCTGGAAGATAATTGTATTGAATACGACAAACAACAAACTGAATTGAGTTCATTTCTTGAATCTTACAGAGATACAGAACTGCCAGACGTCTTTCGGAAAGACAACAAACTTCTATCGGGCCAACAGTGAAGGTAAAATTTCATATGCCGGTTAATCAAATGTAATTGGGACCACAATTCACTTTTAGTTGCCTAAGCTCTTGCTTTTCTAACCCATTAAACATGCTGAAACACAACAGGCACAGCATTGAAAGTCAAAATCCCATAATATGATTTGGATTGAATTGGAGTGAATTGGAGCGAATATTTTGGTCCAAAGTTAAATATGTGCTTATTCTGTTTTAATCTGAAATCTTGATCAGTAATTATTTGCTGTTAAACTAATGTGCACGTAAACATGAGAGGAAGTGGACCCATATGTGGACCCTTACACTTTAGACCTTCTTAATATGTGACCTGGTCATAATCATTGCCGAGCGCTGTCCTTAGCTGACCCATGTCGTTTCCTCTGTGTACAGGGTTCATTTACGACGGAGAGCCTCACCTCTACTATGACGATGCCTGTGTGGTGCCTGAGCGGGGTGAAGGGAAGGTCAAGCAGGAAGGGACGGGGTTCCGAGAGGGGCCGCCATACCAGCGCCGTGGCTCTCTGCAGCTTTGGCAGTTCCTGGTCACCTTGCTGGACGACCCGTCCAACAGCCACTTCATCGCCTGGACCGGCCGTGGCCTCGAGTTTAAACTCATTGAGCCGGAAGAGGTCAGTTTACTGTTTGCGGAAAGGGTCACATCTGTTTAGGTATAGGGTTCCTACTGGGTGTTAGCATGGCTGTTGTATATGTGGAAAACTCTGACCAAGTGCATGCATGTGTCCAGGTGGCTCGGCGCTGGGGCATCCAGAAGAACCGGCCTGCCATGAACTATGACAAGCTGAGCCGATCTCTGCGCTACTACTACGAGAAGGGCATCATGCAGAAGGTAAAGGCACGTTCCCGTTCCAATTTCCTCTCCTTTTGCTTCCTTTAGTGCCCATCATGTACAGCTGGGGTTAGAAATGGTACACGGAAAAAACCATCAACAAGGATCTGTTTTTTTACAGAACATGATCAAAAACGGCAACAAAATCAAGCAAGAACTTAAACTATTTTTAAATGTGGTTAACTGGTTTAAAAACCTTATTTTGTTTTAATTCACTTTCATAGAAACAGGAATTAGAAAGTAAATCATTGCCATTTCAATTATGTTTTAAAGCAAAACCTTATATCTCCGTTTTTGCTGTTTTTTTTAGTTTTTGTGGTCATTTGAAAGTGTCTGTCCTTTACAATGTGTGTAAATTTCATGATGAATGGACAAGAAAAACGGCCCAAAATGACTTGGAAAAAACTCTGGTTCCATTGACTCACATTAAAAGTAAAGTTTGTTTTTTCCTTCTCCTGTAAAGTTATTATTTTGGAGATATGAGGTTTTGTTCTGACATCTTGCTCCAGAGTTCTGCCCCTCCAGTCAGTAGAATGAAATAAAAGATTATTAACCAGTCAACTGCATTTTATTCTGGAAGTTCAGGGCTTTTTGATTATGTTCTGGGAAAAACTTTTCATTTTTAGTCCAATTTAACATTTCCTAACTCCTGCTGTACAGTAGCCAATCCCATTATTTAGAGCCTCACCATATATTTTTCCAGTTAATTCAAGATTTTCCAGGATTAATGCCTCTCTTTCTCTTTCCACAGGTGGCAGGTGAGCGCTATGTGTACAAGTTTGTCTGTGACCCAGAAGCTCTCTTCTCCATGGCCTTCCCCGATAACCAGAGGCCCAGCCTGAAAGCCGACCCAGATGGGGTGCAGGTCCCAGAGGATGACACCGTCCCACTGTCCCACTACGACGAGGCCAGCGGCGCCCCCTACCTCAGAGACGGACGCGATCAGTGCTTGGCAGGATTACCTTTCCCCGACAGCTACGCGTTCTGAATGTGTTCGGACTCCTAATCGCCTCCCAGCCGCTGAGCAGGACTGACGAACACTCATACACATAAAATCACATACATGCCGATTTTTTTCCCTCCCCTTTTCTTTTTGAAAACACTTTTCTGCACACTTGATTGTCACCTCATCTTGTGATTTGAACTGGTATCATGATCATAAACACACACACCACAGATTCTCTCCTGTAATGGACCTCTTATTTTGTCTTGCAAGTTTTTTTTTTAATCGATGAAAATAACTGAAAGGGACTCGGCAGTATTTTTCAACAAGCTTCGGTTTTGTATGTATAAATATATATAAGTGTATATTTTAAAAGGCGGCTTTTGTGCGCTGTTTTTCTCCGTGTAGAGCCTGGTGTCTACTTTTCAGCTCTGTCCTTCTGAAATCCTTTCTGACGAAATGTACTGACGCACCTCTTGATGCTATTGAATGCTGAACTTATCGAAGTCTACAAGTATCACCTTAATATGAAAGATTCGCAGTTTTAATCCAGCTGTGCAAGTGTACGTGCTTTATCACTGGCCAGACAGAGTGCACGGGTTCTGCTTTTGTATTATGATTTTAATGATTCTTCTGAACGGAGATGGGTGGGAGGGGGCAGGAATATTGAAAGAGTAAAATCTATGTATATTATATGAGTATATTTTTGCAAAGTCTGCATTTATTTTGTGTCTTTGTATAAGCTGTATACCAGACTCTCATCACTCTAATATCTGTTCATTTTATACAGTGGTGAGTGACAAAGTGGAAACTATGGGCTATGTTTAGACAGGCTTTCTTTTTCTTTTTTAAAAACATGTATCTGAAGTATGAACATCGGGAATTTGCATGTCAGTTCCAGTTTCTGCATGGGAAAAAAAAAAAGAATCGTACGCTTGAGTTTGTTGATATGCAAAGCAGTTCATAAGTTCTCTATAACAGAAGAACATTCTTTGCAGTTGCACGGTACAGTGTGACAATCCTGCAACCTTCAGCAACAAGTTTTGACCTGTGAAGACCCTCGGGCAGCTTGAATTTCGGAACTTGTGAGCCGTTTTGCTTTTTTCAGTGGTTATGCTTTTTATAGTAACTGATCACAAGCTTGTCTGAGCACATAAATCTGATCAAGCTGCAGGAAAAACAGACAAATTCTGAGCATTACAGTTGCTGTCTAAAAGTAGCCCAGTGTTGGGTTTGTGCTCAAAGCCTTTGTTACAAAGAGCCATGTTGAGAAGACCCAGTAACTGTTGTTTAAGGGTGGGTCTGCCTTGTAATCGTAATGGTCTGACTTACTGTCAGGGGAACTGATCTCTGTTCAGCAGTCAGAAGGACATGGTCCCTGTAACATGAGCTTCACGGGTAACTTGGGTGTCCCTACCTCCACTATTGAGCTTTTTAATCTGTTCTGGATACAATAAACTCATTTCTGCTTCACTTAAGCCTTGTTATTTGGCAGTGTTGAGTTTAGTGTGAAGGATCATGTTTTTTTTTTTATTAAATCTACTGAAGTGTCTGAAAGCCACATGACCAGCTAGACAGATCGACTGGCTCGTTCCAGACTGTCATTAGTGGCGTGTAATGTGTGTTATAACCAGATTATCTTGCTGCCATTTTGACACGGTGGCTAAGGAGAAAGAGCGGAATCATTTTAATGGAATAATTTGGTATCAGTATGTTATATAGTGTCAAAAAACATATAAGCAGTGTATATTCTACTTAATAACACATTGCAGCTTCATCGTCACAGACTATACTGAAGGTAAGGGAAATGCAGGGCTTCAAAGCTGTAGTTAAAAGGCAAGTCCACCTATTTTTCAGAATTTCTGCCTAAACTGATAAGACATGAAGTCATTCAGAGTGGTTTGATGAGGAATGTGCCATTCTAGACTTAGCAAGTCAGAATTATGCACAGTGGTGGTGATAGGAACCAGACGTCTGAGGCGTGTATTGCCTTTAAAAGTCACCTCACAGAAAGTTATCACACAGAATAGTTATGAATGTGTTGGCTGCACCTTTTTTGCGATAAGGTGTATGGAGAGTAATGTAAAAATAGTGCCCAAGGAAAGCTTTAACCCTATGTAACACTATTAACAAGACTTAAAGGGGAACTCCACCGATTTTTCAAAAATTCTGCATATGGTTGAGACGTGAACAGTCATTCAGGGTGGTTTGGTGTGAAATGTTCTGTTCTAGTGTAACTTGCTGTAAATTATTCACAGTGGTGGTGATAGGAACCACACGTCTGAAGCGTGTACTGCCTTTAAAAGTCACCTCACAGAAAGTTATCACACAAAATGGTTATGAATGTGATGGCTGCACCTGCTAAGCTTTTGGCATAAAGCATATTTTTTCAAATCTATTGAGAGTAATGTAAAAAAAAATAGTGCCCAAGGAAAGCTTTAACACTATGTAACACTATTAACAAGACGTAAAGGGGAACTCCACCGATTTTTCAAAAATCCTACATAGTTAAATGGTTGATGGTTTAATGGTTTAAACAGTCATTCAGGGTGATTTGGTGTGAAATGCTCTTAGCGCAACGTGCCGTAAATTATTCACTGTGGTGGTGACGGGAACCAGACGCCCCCTCTAAAAGCTTCCTTTCCTTTTCTTTTGACTGTTATTACATGAAATGGTTAGATATATGCTGTACAATGTCTGACACACCATTGTATAATAGTTTTGAGATAAAGTTTTGGATTAAAATGTATTTTAATCTGTTCATGGCAGAGAGGTACATGCGGGGTGTTGTTGTAAGGCAAAAAAGTATTTTTTTCAGATTTAAGACTATTTTACAGTCATCAACATTACTTATAAAAACTCAGAAGACATATGCAGGTTCACTGGTGGTTTTGGATAGTAAATGATAATGAAGAATTTCACACCAAATCACCCCAAATGATTCTGTTTACATCTCAAGGACTGAATTACTCAGAAATTTTGAAAAAATGGTGGAATTCCCCTTAAACACTACAGCATTGCATATAAAAATTCAGAAGACACTCCTAGGTTCACTGGCCATTTTGATAGTAAATAAAATAGTTATATGTGCATTATAGACACTGGGAGGCCTGGTTCTTATCACTACCGTGTCACATCACACCACTCTGAGCTTCATTTTAACCACTGAAATGTACATATATTTTTAACAAGTGAATAGAATTCTTCTTCAAAGCCAAGAAAAGTGATCAGACCTGTTTGATCTTGCTATTATTAGGTACACACTAATGGAAACACTGGAACTGTGTACCCATCACATTGTTGTCTCTCATTTCTAGAAAGACAACTTCCAGAAGATTCTTCTAGTGTATTCTAAAGCATGTAAGAGGGCTTATCTGAAGTTAACCTACTGACTCCCATTCTCTGCTCTCCACTCCTCCCCCCTCCTCCCTCTTTCTCTATCTCTCTCTCTCTCAGTGAACGCTCAGCCAAAATCCTGATGACCCTGATCCGCTGTGTAGAACTGCAGAATCTATTAGGGCTGTCAGGAGCTCAGATTGTCATGAGTGCACTCTCATAAGCCTTTTCTGAGGAGGACACGGCTTCAAGACAGGCCTGGGTGAATCGTGTTATTAGGCTATGCTTGACTGGTGACATTAAGGGAAAAGTTCAGAAGTGTTCCAGCATTTTACAAGAGCGCCTGACCAGTGTGTGCAACTGTGGACAAAGTTTCTTTTTAACTGCATTACTTTTCTATCTGTCTTAAAGGGAGTACTGTGCCAAGGATTGGCCTAGTTCACTTAAATTATCTTTAATGATCTGTAATTTAAGGCGTACATTTCTAGGCCACACACATTCTCTAGAGAACCCAATGACTGTAGATATAGTGTTGTAGTATTAGTACTAGTACGGTTATGTGCTGTGCTTGTAGGAAAACGGCGCCCCTTGGTGGCCAAAAAGCGTGGTTGCACCTGTACTGTCTATTACACTGAAAGTGAAAATGGCTGTCTGCCTTCTTCTCGTAATACGGCGGCTAAAACTGGCGATCGACCTTATTTCCCATTTTTCTTCTGTCACACGCCCGATGAAACCCCATTAGATGAAATGTAATGTATATGCGCTATACGCAGTGTTAGATGAGACAATATGTAAAAGAAACATAATATAATTACACTGTGTTCACTGGCAACTGCAAACGAGCGACTCGTGAACGAATCGCTCTTTTGAACCGGCTCTTTTCAACAAATCTGCAGAACCTAATCACAAATCGAACTGAATCTGCGGGCTGGGCGTGGCTTCCTCTTTCTGTTATGTGTTTGTGCTTCGTGCATTTCCATTAGTGAGAAGAAGTAGCGGACATTAGATTCACTCACTGAATCGAAACTTGGCTTGGCTTGTGAAGTGGCTCAATCGGGCGATCGATTCGTTGAAACGGACAGCTCGGAAGAATCGGTTCGTAAACTGATTCAAACTTACCACTGTGCGTTAAAGGCAGCTGACGGCGATTTCGGCTGTATCTCAAATCGCGCCCTGCTCCCTATGTAGTAGATTACGTGAAAAGAAATTTTGGCCTATTTAATCAGTATTCAACCGTGAATACGTGTCTGAATCTCCGAATGGCTTTGTTGTTAGCCACACTGTGCGCTGGTTGGGCGCAGGGGCCGTTGTTTTAGGGGCTTTGTAGTGCACTACGTAGGGAGTAGGGAGCTATTTGAAATTTGGTCGCCTATAAATAGTTGTCGGCGTTAACAGCTGATTTAAAAACAGTTCCTTCTTCATCGTGACGCTGTTTAATCGACGCTAAAAGCACTGAAACCTGATCTCAGATCAGCAACAAGCTGCTTCCGCCCTTGGAGGCGCGTCATACGGGTACTTTCACCAGTAACGTTAGTAGGAACAGAGCCGGTTTATGAGGAGCCCGGCCGCTTCCTATTCCCCCCGTTATATCAAAAACAGGACTGCCAAACAGCAGAGGGCGCTCGAGAGCGAGTCCTCAATGAATGGGAGTAAATGGAGCTCAACGGCTAAAAACGAAAAGTTAAAATAGTTTCTAATTTCTCGCCCAGAACTTTCCTTTAATTTTAGAAAGTAGAAGGATGTAATTCACTAACAGAACAAAGAAATCCTACCTTTATCTTTCCGTTTTTTACAGCAAACGGGTTTTGGGCCGTAGAAGGCGGGCATTACTGCTAGAGCGTGATGATTGACTGGCGAGCGGAGCAGCTCATTGGCTGTTCGCGCTCACTGACGTCATGGATATGCATGAGGCGCCGTTTTAAACTCCTATAACTCGAGTTTAAAAGCTCTTAAAAACATAACAGCGGCGTTAAAATGTTTTCCGTTGTTCAGTGATCAGGAAATGATCGCATTCTTTTACATTAAAAATGTTTAAGCGTTCATAAACCATGATTTTGCTCAAAGGCTCTATATCAACCCATTCATTTTGGACTCGCTCGGGTGCGCCCTCTAGCGTTCGAGAACACCGGAAAACTCTGCAGAGTGGGAGATCTCTCTACAAGATCTCTTGTGCTTTCACCAGTAACGTTAGTAGGAAGTCGACGCCTTCCGAGAAGAGAAGAGAAGAGGAGAAGCCACTCCGGCCAACTTCCACTGAAGATTCCTTCTCTACTGACGGAGTAACAGCGAGGCATGGCTTATCCAGGATATGGCGGGGTAAGCTGGAATATCGCTTCCATAACACATTCCCTACTTTTCCTTTAACTCGCACCGCGGTCTGGATGTAGGAATTTATCGAGTTAATTAGCCAATCAGGTTACGCCGAATTGTTTCTAAGCTACGGTGAAGGGAAAATGGCTGGAGTTGGTCCTAAACAACGGTTTATGAAGAGAAATCTCGATACTGACTTATTATACTAGCTAATATACTGAATACATTCAGCCTAAGAGTAACTGGATGCCATCAACAGGTTTCAGGAAAATGTCTGGTGTAAAAATGGCAGATATGGGGCGGATAAACAGATCGCAGTAGGCAAATTGGGCTCATGTTAACTGAATATTTTGAAAATGAAAGCAAGTAAACGAGCCGTTAGTTACTGTGTGGTGGGTTTATCTGTGGCTCAGTTCTAAAACGCCTCGGTCCAAGTTAATGTAGTGAGTTAGTATCAGTGGTGGACCAAGTACATAAATCATATAACCTACTTGAGTTAAAGTAGAGATGCCCAAGGTAAATATTACTCCAGTAAAAGTAGAAGTTCCTCCCTTTAGACCTCCACTTGAGTAGAAGTACTAAAGTATTCACCTTCAAATGTACTTAAGTATCAAAAGTAAAAGTACTAATAGATTAATTATGAATGTCCTATTATCATTTTTGTAACAAGACTCTGCTTCATTAACTCATTTTAGGTGAAAATACTCCAGTGTCTCTCTTGGTAAACCAGTCTTTTAATAGAGTCATTAATTAGTGATGCTGATGTCTAATTATCATAAGCACAAAATACTGAAGGCAAACAGTTTCCATCAGGTAGAACTGAGTGGCTCTGAAATCACTTTTTTGCAAACAAGCAAAGTTTCAGTTTAAGATTTATTTTAACTTAGTTACAAGTTTAAATTTAATAAAAACTTTAATCTCAGGTTCACAGATGAGTTTTACTTTACTAAACTGCATCTGTAGGTCTCTGTTCATAAACATAAACTAGCCAAAACGACTCTACTATAAAATGAAATCGTGTTTGTATAAATTCAGAAAAAAGACACGTCTGTCACAACTGCATATGTGTACATATTTCTATATTGTGGTCTGTTTACACAAAGTTAGGTTAGTTCATCATTTATGTTGAATAGACTCTCCCAAGATTTAATGCTGCTGCACTGTCGTTGAACCGTGAGCTGCACTGGGTCGGAATGTCCAACAGGTCAAAACAAGCTCAAAACAAAGTGCGCGCTGTGACCTGATTGGTGTTCTTCCTTTGCGCTTCTTTCGTTTTGACATGTTATGTTTTTATGCACACATAAACAAAAGGAACGACAGATTTCTCATAATGTAGTGGAGTAAAAAGTGAGATATTTGACTTTGAAATGTAGTGGAGTGAAAGTAAAAAGTACAGATACACGCTGGTCTTTTCTGTTCTCTCCTCAGCCTCTGCTTAACTCTTCCTGCAGAAAATCCCGTTAGTGTGTCTCGCTGCACTCACTACCTGCCTGTCATTCAGGTGTTTGAAGGTTGAATAGGTGTGACGTAAGCATCCTGATAACCTCGCTGGAATTTGGAACTGAAAAGTGGGCGTGGCTGTCTTTGAGTGGTGAAAGGAAGCAGGTTTTATTAAAGCAATAAGACACGAGATTCAGTGGGTCATTGTGATTTTATCACAGGGAAGGGTGTTCTTTGGCACGACATGAAGAGAAGTACCTAAAATTCCCTTCCCCATGATGAAATCGCAGTAACCCACTGCTTTGAGTGGCTTATTGCTTTTATAAAACGGCCAGCATAAAATATATTAAAATACACCATGTTTTAGATAATTATTTAAGTTATTATTAATAATAATAGACATAAACAAGTATTCTGCCAAGAAATGTAGTTCCTTTAGAGTGCAGTATCGTTGCTAAGCAACACTGAACGCTGAATGAGGAGGAGAAGAACGTTTGGCATTGACATTTCATGATTTTTTGAAAGCCTTTTTTGTATAATAGTGATCATTTGATAACACAGCACTGTTTAATGCAAAATAAGTACTTTTGGTCACCAAATTACCACAGAGAGTCGTCTGCCAGTCTGACCATGCCACTTTTCTCACGCTGGGGCTGAATCTCAAACGGCTCCCTGCTCCCTACATAGTGCACTATGTAGGAATTTAAATACTGACTCCGACACCCCAACAATGCAAAATGTCGCTAAAAATGGTCAGTTGGGACTCATTCACAGTCACACTCGACAGACAGTGCACTATTTGACAGCAGAAGCTAGAATTTCTAAACTTAATATTACACAGCGCACTATTTAGCTAGGGAGTACGGAGCCGTTTGGGACTCAGCCTGGGTTTGACGCTGCTTCTGACTGAAACACGGACATTTGAAGCGTGTAAGACATTCAGGTGACATTCTTTAGACTTTTATATTGCCGTTTTCAGTGAATCATATCGTGAGTGCTTTAATTCAGGCCTGTGATGTTAATGTTGGAGTTGTTTAGCATGTTTGCTATCTTTTAGCCTGTTGGCTAGCTAACCAGACTAGTTCTAGTTAAGAAAATAAGTTGTCAGCCCTTCAGTTTAAACAAAAACAGGTTCTTATTTCATCAGTTCACTCGGTGCTCCGTGCCATCAGCTTTAGAGTCAAGAAGCGTTTTTCGTGCGGTGGCGCAGTGATACGGAGTTCAGTTGTTGTGAGGCAGTCGTAGCCATGGTATATCATGGATTTTACAACGGCATCGAACGCGGCTCAGCCAATCAGATTTTAGGACCAGAACTATCAGTTTTATATAATAGCAGTCAGTTGTAACAGCTGGGCTGTTTCCAGAACTTGGATTTTATAATTAAAGAATTAAAAAAGATGCATTCAAAATAACTGCCTCTTCGTTGATGACTGGATATATTTGATGTTTAGCAATGAATTCGCTGTTGTTAATTATTCTCCAATTATTCTCCAACAACGTGATTCTTAAGCAATAAAACACGAGAGGGAGTTATCGCTAAATATGTTATTGTTTATGTTATAAATGTTATTTGTGATAACACACTCCTCTGAGGTGTTCTATTGCTTTTATACAACAGTTCGCAGTTCCTTCACCAAATTATAGTTCCTTAACAAGCAGCTTGTTGCTACGTCAGAGTAATGAACTCCGCCCACTCGCTGCACAGCCGGCAGTTCGTTCTCCAGCTCCTTACACTAAATTCCCAAACTGTCATCACCACTGAGCAGCTTTTCAGCCGGCAGCTGTGACAGAAGAACAGCGAAACAACCTGGAATCAGCCAGAAATGAACCCAATACCGTTCGCCAAACGTGTAGTCTGATCTTTAGAGTCTGACCAAATCAGACTGAGCCATAAAACTGCCACAATATCAAGTTTAGCTCAGTTTTGTCAATTTTTGCCAGATCAGTATTAATGTTGTTTTGTTCCAGCCAGTCTGTAAAGCATCTTACAGCCCATTTAGTTTGGCGAATGGTGTTGGGTTCATTTCTGGCTGATTCCAGGTTGTTCAGCTGTTCTTCTGTCACAGCTGCCGACTGAAAAGCTGCTCAGTGGTGATGACAGTTTGGGAATTTAGTGTCGTCTCATCTTCAGAGTCTGACCAAATCGGCTGTCGGTCAAATGTGATCTTAGAAGTGTCCATTTTCTGTTTGTGGCAAAGTAAGAAGTAAAAACGTTCAAATGACTTGAGTGTCTCCTACAGCTGTCAAAGTCGTCGCTTAGCAACAGCGTCTCAGCGGAGTGATACAGTGTTTGTGATAAAACCGTGATGTTATGGCGAAATAACAGCACAGTTAGAACGCTTTTCAACCAATCAGCTTGCGTGGATATGGATGGGTATCGGGCCGGTATCAGCACAAAATACTTGATCAGATATTAGAAGGGAAAAAAGTAGAATATGATGCCTTCCTGTAACAAATCTGCCCTGAAATAGAACCCACTCGCATTGTGTGATGTGATGGTGTTAACTGTGTATTCCTTTTTGTGGAGTAGTGGAGTGTTTTGAGTAGTTTGAGCTTGATAGCCCCCTTTTAGATGCTCTTCCTAAGTGAAAAACCTCATAATATCTTGAAAAGCTTAGTAATTTTGAAAGAAAAAAACATTGGAATTGGTATTGTGCCATCTCTGACTTTGTTATAACACTACAAAGAAGCGCTGCGTGTGGAACAGGCCTTGTTTTTGTAGACAGTGTATATTGTAAACTAGGCTTAGAAATACTACCAGGTCAGCCTCCCACTGCTGGCTGTGGCATCAAAACAAGTCTAAACATGACTGTGAAACTTGTTTACCTGTAAAAGAGAAATTTCGGGGAAATCTGTGCGTCATCCCATACGCAGTATTTGTGATTAATGGAAATGACAACAGATACGATTAGATACAAACGAGAAATGTGAAGGAAAAAAAACGCCCCAAATTAAAAAGACAATAAATGAATGACGTATGGATATGGTACATGTTCACTGTGGAATTGATCAGAGATATTCAGACTGGTGACGTATACCACATGAAAGAAGAAGGCAGTAAATCTTGTTTTTTGTGTGGGGTTTCTCTGAGAGTTGATGCACTAGAAGATATGATTGTTTTTTCTGCAGAGCTATGTGTCCTGGAACATACACCGATCAGGCATCATATTATGACCACCTCCTCGTTCCTACGCTCATTGTCCAGCTCCACTTACTGTATAGGTGCACTTTGTAGTTCTACAGTTACAGACTGTAGTCCATCTGTTTCTCTGCATACTTTGTTAGCCCCCTTTTACCCTGTTCTTCAGTGGTCAGGACCCCCATGGACCCTCACAGAGCAGGTACTATTTGGGTGGTGGATCATTCTCAGCACTGCAGTAACACTGACGTGGTGGTGGTGTGTTAGTGTGTGTTGCGCTGGTCTGAGTGGATCAGACACAGCAGTGCTGCTGGAGTTTTTAAACACCTCAGTGTCACTGCTGGACTGAGAATAGTCCACCAACCAAAAATATCCAGCCAACAGCGTCCTGTGACCACTGATGAAGGACTAGAGGATGACCACACAAACTGTGCAGCAGCACGATAGCTCATCTGCTGCTGCACAGTTTGTGTTGGTCATCCTCTAGTCCTTCATCAGTGGTCACAGGACGCTGTTGGCTGGATATTTTTGGTTGGTGGACTATTCTCAGTCCAGCAGTGACACTGAGGTGTTTAAAAACTCCAGCAGCACAGCTGTGTCTGATCCACTCAGACCAGCGCAATACACACTAACACACCACCACCACGTCAGTGTTACTGCAGTGCAGAGAATCATCCATCACCCAAATAGTACCTGCTCTGTGAGGGTCCATGGGGGTCCTGACCACTGAAGAACAGTGTAAAAGGGGGCTAACAAAGTATGCAGAGAAACAGATGGACTACAGTCTGTAACTGTAGAACTACAAAGTGCACCTATATAGTAAGTGGAGCTGATAAAATGGACAATGAGCGTAGAAACGAGGTGGTGGTCATTTATATATTTATATACATATATATATGAGCAGACATATAATTAACAGAAAATTACACAGAAGCCTCAATGGCTAAATATAATATAAAAATTTCAACATTTCCAATATGTCCACCCTTTATTACAGCTTCCTTTCTTTTCAGAAGACTTGCTTTCAGTTTTTCAAATAAATGAAATGTGGATATTCATCACACTTCCCTGGTTCAGTCTTAGAAGTTGGTTGCACTTTGTGCTTTTCACAATCCAAGAACTCCCAAACACATTCAGTGTGTTTGAATGTGAGGATGTTGAAGTCTGGACTGTGGGGTGGCCTGTCCATTGTTTCGACAACACCGGCAGCTTCTTTATTTTGTTTGCACATTTTCTACTTCCCTTTCTCAGTAGGAGTTTCCCCACAACTACACATCTTTTCACACCCACATCGTTGAGCTGAGTCTTCTCAGAGTGGAAGGATGGGCAGAAACGGCTGTGGATGTCTTGATTTTCTTCTCTCTCAAAGACGAAAGTTTTAAGTCCTGTTCATCTGATGATCATTTTGGTGCTCTACCACGTCTGGAGTCTCATTTTCTCTGTATCTTTAAATAATTTTTTGAGCTCTAGTTTAAAAAAAACATCCTTTTATCCTTTGACTTTCTCTTCTCCTGTGCAAATTGACTATCTTACATCTAATCTCTTCTGAAATATCTCCTGAAGAAGGGAAAACATGTCCTTAATGACCGTTTTGACTGGAATTTTTGCACAGCTCTGTAGGTACCAGGAGTCAGGACTATGAGGTTTGTAGAATGACATTAGAGAACTTAATATTTATTCCATAAGAGGTTATTTTATTTTCATCTTTTTGAATTCGTGGCATGTAACTGTTGACCATAAAAACTGCCGTATTAGGAACCAGTGTAAAAACAGGAAATGTGTAGGTTTTTGTGGAGAAACTGACATTTGCAATCTCGTTTTTTTTTAATACGTAGCCATTTCTCATTCGCTCTGTCTCCACCCCCCTCTCTTTCCCTCTCATGTGTGTGGGGTGGGCTAGCAGAGTGAATTGATGGTGTTCTGTTTTAACTGTCTGCCTCCCTAATTTTTCTTTCTTGTTCTCTTTCTCTTTATCTTTCAGTATGGTGGTCCTATGCCAGGCATGCCAATGGCAGGAGCCCCTATGGGTGGCCCTCCAATGGGGGGATACCCACCCCAGTTTGGGGCATTCCCTGGCAGCACCTTTGCAGCTCCTGCCCAAGACCCCATGTGGGGTTACTTCACTGCCATAGCCGGCCAGGTAAGAGTAGAGCGCTAACTGTGAGCTAAGTGACACGTTAATCCAGGCGTACACTGTGCAGTTTTAGCCCGTTTTTAAGCCCAATTGATTTCATGATCGGGGCGAATTTCAGCTTCATCGGCTGTCGTTTGCTGTGCAGTGTGAGAGGAGAAACGATGCCTGATTAACTGTCCAGACGAGCTCCGATTGAGCAGTCCGATGATCGGATGGATTTCTGACAGAAATGTTGGACGCTTGTCTCACAGTCTGATCAGCCAAACGAACCGATTTCACAAAGTCGCACCCAGAACCTCACAATCACAGCCACAGCTCCTTCACAGAGGCAAAGAAGTCCACATTTGCAGCACCAGTGTCTGTATATGCTGACTTTGCCCCGTTTGGCTGAGTTGGATTGTGAGGTATAAATAAATACAGTGTTTTCTGTCTTCGTAGAGCTGCCTGTCTGTAGACCGCCTGCTCTTCAGCTTCAGTGCACAGAGTGGCACCAGTTAGCAAAGCAGTTTCAGCCATTGACAAACCGCTACATCTGCCTTCTTCACCAAAACAGTGCCCTGTTTGTCCAGTATGGAACTGGGCGCACATGGCTGAATCTCAGAAGTCTATTTATTAGACATGTGATGCACTTTATGGGTGCAGGAGCCACTATTTTAATATGTGGTGCACTATGCAGGGAGCAGGGAGCCATTTGAGATTCAGCCACTGTTTTGATCAGGACTTGGAGGCGCAGCGTGTTGTTTTGAATTAAACGGCTTTATTGTAGACAGAGCGTCTGTAGGGGCTGCGTTTCACGTGTAGCGTGAGCACCCATGTCGCGTTGCGTCAGTCGGACCAAATGTTTTCGTTCAGTGTTGCAGGCTTTGTCCGAACACGACGGGTGATTCAAATGTACAGTGTGAGTCACCAAAGAACAAGATTTCTAAAATCGCACAGTGTGAGCCTGGCTTTACTGTCAACTGGATGTTAAGATTTACTTTGAGGAATTAAAAGACCAGACATTGTTTGGTCATAATGTTTAAGTGCTCTAGCTAACTGACGAAGGCAGGTGAAAAGGAAGCCCTGAGTTGTCTGGTAATGAGGCTTTGTGTTCTCAGGATGGTGAGGTGGATGCTGAGGAACTACAGAGATGTTTGACACAGACTGGGATCAGTGGCTCCTATATGCGTAAGTCGAGGGAGTGCTGTGGAAAGGAACAGCTCTAATATCTGATTGAGAGAATACTGTTCGAATAGTCACTATAATATAGCTTATAGTAGACTAAAGATAATGCCCAGTAATTTCATAAGGCCTAAGCTTTCTTCATGCTTCTTGTTTGCAGCCTTCAGCTTGGAGACATGTAGGATCATGATTGCCATGCTGGATGTATCCTTCACAGAAATGTGGAAAATTGTCACGTTCTCTCGTTCTTCACTTTTGATTCCTGCGTCTACTTATTGCCTCACAAACTGTAGTAAACTGTCTCCCGGATATCTATAGGCAAATACAGGGAGATTCACTCGAAAGAGTCCCCGAATATTCTGTAATAACTCTCGCTGGGACGAAGCAATCTGAACGAAACAGCGTGCAACGTGCTCCTCAGTATGTGGAGCTTCGAACAAGCCGGGATGCACAATGTCTCGGTTGGGCATCATAGGCCCCATTTTCTTTGATACCACCGTGAACACCGATGTGTACCTGGACATTTGTGAAAAGTTTGTGAATCAACTGGATGATCATGAGTTAACGGAAGGTTACTTTCAGCAAAATGGAGCAACGTGTCACACATTGGCATAGAGCATGGCAGAAACTGAGTCCTTCTTCATCGCATGTAATGCAATCGATTACACATACGTCAAGGTATGTAGCCTGTTTTTTTGGTTCAGATTGCTTCATCCTGACGGGAGTTACAACAGAATATTCGGGGCCTCTTTCGAGTGAATCTCCTTGTGCAATATGTTATTCAGTGCTACAAGGAGAAGTTGACAGTTTTGCTGGAAAAGCTTGATCAAAGACCTCCTGTACCGGACAATGAGTTCTCCTCAGCACATTTATCCGATTAGATCCAGTGTTAACTTTAGTTTAGCCCTAGATCAGACCTGCTTCTTATTAGACATGAACACCTACTGCTCAACCCTTGTGTGGTGTTGATGTGTTAGTTACTCAGTGGTCTGGTGACCCACTGAGTAACATTTTTTTTTTTTTTAAATCACAACCATAACAATTTATGTAAAAATACCAGAAGTTAAAAATATCACAAGTGTCCAGCGTAGGGTTCTCCTTTAGCAGCTGTAGCCAGTCAGCAGCCTGTCCATGTTGTCCACCCTCACACACACACACACACACACATATACAAACATATACACACACAGACACACACACACTAACAGCAGGCCATGTAGGAGGAGAACAGAGTGAAGGACACAGCACCTCCACACTTTTACTCCCTGCAGGTTCACCCAACACCATATGTGTAATATAAATTACACATGTAATTTATATTGGGGGGGTGAACAGAGTGAAGACCCTGAAAATGGGATATTTTATGTGTTCTGAGGTTAAAATAATAATAAATCACATCATTTTAGTAAACATTGAAAATGGGTTGACCTGTCCAGGGTGTATCCTACCTTCCGCCCGATGACTGCTAGGATAGGCTCTAGCACCCACTGCGACCCAGAAGGATAAGCGGCTACGAAAGTGTGTGTGTGTGTGTGTGTGTGTGTGTGTGTGTGTGTGTGTGTGAAAATTGGTCCCACAGACCCGAACACCACACAAGGGTTAACATCTGGTCACTGAAAGATTCTCCTGGTTTGATTAATGTCCCTTTTTTGCTTCTTACCACAAACGCTACAGATGCCACCAGGTATCCTGAGCTAAATTAAATGGATGTAGTAACAGTAACTAGTTGAGGTGGGACCTGCCAGAATTTTGAAAATGGTCAATTGAGCATTAGTTGATGGATTAATTCACTATAGTGATACTTGTGTCACATTATCTAGGGACCTGTTTTTGGTTATATTACATAATATCTGTTGGAAAGACAAAGACGTGTATCTGTGCTGTCGGCGGCTGGTTGATTTCCTTAACTGCATTACTGTAGAGAGATTACTCTGGTAAAATGGGTTTCAATGAGTTTAAAGAGCTGTTTGCTGCATTGAATGGTTGGAAGCAGAACTTTGCGATGGTGGACCGAGACAACAGCGGGACAGTGGAGCCTCACGAGTTGTCGCAGGCCATCAGTAACTTAGGTGAGTTCTCCCCTTAGCACACAGCTCTCTTAGCACACAGCTCTCTTAGCTCACAGCTCCCTTAGAGCACAGCTCCCTTAGAACACAGCTCTCTTAGCTCACAGCTCCTTTAGCACACAGCTCTCTTAGCACACAGCTCTCTTAGCTCACAGCTCTCTTAGCTCACAGCTCTCTTAGCTCACAGCTCCTTAGCACACAGCTCTCTTAGCACACAGCTCTCTTAGCTCACAGCTCCTTTAGCACACAGCTCTCTTAGCTCACAGCTCTCTTAGCTCACAGCTCTTAGCTCACAGCTCTCTTAGCTCACAGCTCCTTTAGCACACAGCTCTCTTAGCACACAGCTCTCTTAGCTCACAGCTCCTTTAGCACACAGCTCTCTTAGCACACAGCTCTCTTAGCTCACAGCTCTCTTAGCACACAGCTCTCTTAGCTCACAGCTCCTTTAGCACACAGCTCTCTTAGCACACAGCTCTCTTAGCTCACATCTCCCTTAGCACACAGCTCTCTTAGCACACAGCTCTCTTAGCTCACAGCTCTCTTAGCACACAGCTCTCTTAGCTCACAGCTCTCTTAGCTCACAGCTCCTTTAGCACACAGCTCCCTTAGCACAGCTCCTTAGACACAGCTCCCTTAGCACACAGCTCTCTTAGCACACAGCTCTCTTAGCACACAGCTCTCTTAGCTCACAGCTCTCTTAGCTCACAGCTCCTTTAGCACACAGCTCCCTTAGAACACAGCTCCCTTAGAACACAGCTCCCTTAGCACACAGCTCCCTTAGCTCACAGCTCTCTTAGCTCACAGCTCTCTTAGCTCACAGCTCTCTTAGCTCACAGCTCCTTTAGCACACAGCTCTCTTAGCACACAGCTCTCTTAGCACACAGCTCTCTTAGCTCACAGCTCCCTTAGCACCCAGCTCTCTTAGCACCCAGCTCTCTTAGCTCACAGCTCCCTTAGAACACAGCTCCCTTAGCACCCAGCTCTCTTAGCACCCAGCTCCCTTAGAACACAGCTCTCTTAGCACACAGCTCTCTTAGCTCACAGCTCTCTTAGCACACAGCTCTCTTAGCTCACAGCTCTCTTAGCTCCAGCTTTAGCACACAGCTCCCTTAGAACACAGCTCTCTTAGCACACAGCTCTCTTAGCACACAGCTCTCTTAGCTCACAGCTCTCTTAGCTCACAGCTCCTTTAGCACACAGCTCTCTTAGCTCACAGCTCTCTTAGCTCACAGCTCTCTTAGCACACAGCTCTCTTAGCACACAGCTCTCTTAGCACACAGCTCCCTTAGCACCCAGCTCTCTTAGCACCGAGCTCTCTTAGCACACTCCTTAGCTCACAGCTCTCTTAGCTCACAGCTCCCTTAGACACAGCTCCTTAGCACCCAGCTCTCTTAGCACCCAGCTCCCTTAGAACACAGCTCTCTTAGCACCCAGCTCTCTTAGCTTACATCTCCCTTAGCTCACAGCTCTCTTAGCTCACAGCTCTCTTAGCTCACAGCTCCCTTAGAACACAGCTCCCTTAGCACCCAGCTCTCTTAGCACACAGCTCCCTTAGAACACAGCTCTCTTAGCTACAGCTCTCTTAGCACACAGCTCCCTTAGCACACAGCTCTCTTAGCACACAGCTCTCTTAGCACACAGCTCCCTTAGCACACAGCTCTCTTAGCTCACAGCTCTCTTAGCACACAGCTCCCTTAGAACACAGCTCTCTTAGCACACAGCTCTCTTAGCACACAGCTCCCTTAGCACACAGCTCTCTTAGCTCACAGCTCTCTTAGCTTACAGCTCTCTTAGCACACAGCTCTCTTAGCACACAGCTCTCTTAGCTTACAGCTCTCTTAGCACACAGCTCCCTTAGAACACAGCTCTCTTAGCTTACAGCTCTCTTAGCACACAGCTCTCTTAGCACACAGCTCCCTTAGAACACAGCTCTCTTAGCTTACAGCTCTCTTAGCTTACAGCTCTCTTAGCTCACAGCTCTCTTAGCTCACAGCTCTCTTAGCTCACAGCTCTCTTAGCTCACAGCTCTCTTAGCTCACAGCTCTCTTAGCTCACAGCTCTCTTAGCTCACAGCTCTCTTAGCACACAGCTCCCTTAGAACACAGCTCTCTTAGCACACAGCTCTCTTAGCTTACATCTCCCTTAGCTCACAGCTCTCTTAGCACACAGTTCCCTTTGCTCACAGCTCTCTTAGCTCACAGCTCCCTTAGCTCACAGCTCTCTTAGCTCACAGCTCTCTTAGCTCACAGCTCTCTTAGCTTACAGCTCTCTTAGCTTACAGCTCTCTTAGCACACAGCTCTCTTAGAACACAGCTCCCTTAGCACACAGCTCCCTTAGCACACAGCTCCCTTAGCACACAGCTCTCTTAGCACCCAGCTCTCTTAGCTCACAGCTCTCTTAGAACACAGCTCCCTTAGCACACAGCTCTCTTAGCACACAGTTCCCTTAGCTCACAGCTCTCTTAGCTCACAGCTCTCTTAGCTCACAGCTCTCTTAGCTCACAGCTCTCTTAGCACACAGCTCTCTTAGAACACAGCTCTCTTAGCACACAGCTCCCTTAGCACACAGCTCTCTTAGCACCCAGCTCTCTTAGCTCACAGCTCCCTTAGCACACAGCTCTCTTAGCACACAGCTCTCTTAGCTCACAGCTCCCTTAGCACACAGCTCTCTTAGCTCACAGCTCTCTTAGCTCACAGCTCCCTTAGCTCACAGCTCTCTTAGCACACAGCTCCCTTAGCTCACAGCTCCCTTAGCTCACAGCTCCCTTAGCACACAGCTCCCTTAGCACACAGCTCCCTTAGCTCACAGCTCTCTTAGCACACAGCTCCCTTAGCACACAGCTCTCTTAGCTTACATCTCCCTTAGCACACAGCTCCCTTAGCACACAGCTCTCTTAGCTTACATCTCCCTTAGCACACAGCTCTCTTAGCTCACATCTCCCTTTGCTCACAGCTCTCTTAGCTCACAGCTCTCTTAGCTTACATCTCCCTTAGCACACAGCTCCCTTAGCACACAGTTCCCTTTGCTCACAGCTCTCTTAGCTCACAGCTCTCTTAGCTCACAGCTCCCTTAGCTCACAGCTCCCTTAGCTCACAGCTCTCTTAGCTCACAGCTCCCTTAGCTCACAGCTCCCTTAGCTCACAGCTCCCTTAGCACACAGCTCTCTTAGCACACAGCTCCCTTAGCTCACAGCTCTCTTAGCACACAGCTCCCTTAGCACACAGCTCTCTTAGCTTACATCTCCCTTAGCACACAGCTCCCTTAGCACACAGCTCTCTTAGCTTACATCTCCCTTAGCACACAGCTCTCTTAGCTTACATCTCCCTTTGCTCACAGCTCTCTTAGCTCACAGCTCTCTTAGCTTACATCTCCCTTAGCACACAGCTCTCTTAGCACCCAGCTCTCTTAGCTCACATCTCCCTTAGCACACAGCTCTCTTAGCACACAGCTCTCTTAGCACACAGCTCTCTTAGCACCCAGCTCTCTTAGCACCCAGCTCTCTTAGCTCACAGCTCTCTTAGCTCACAGCTCTCTTAGCACACAGTTCCCTTAGCTCACAGCTCTCTTAGCTCACAGCTCTCTTTGCTCACAGCTCTCTTAGAACACAGCTCTCTTAGCTTACAGCTCTCTTAGCACACAGCTCCCTTAGAACACAGCTCTCTTAGCTTACAGCTCTCTTAGCACACAGCTCCCTTAGAACACAGCTCTCTTAGCTTACAGCTCTCTTAGCACACAGCTCCCTTAGAACACAGCTCTCTTAGCTTACAGCTCTCTTAGCACACAGCTCCCTTAGAACACAGCTCTCTTAGCTTACAGCTCTCTTAGCACACAGCTCCCTTAGAACACAGCTCTCTTAGCTCACAGCTCTCTTAGCTTACAGCTCTCTTAGAACACAGCTCTCTTAGCACACAGCTCTCTTAGCTTACAGCTCTCTTAGCACACAGCTCCCTTAGAACACAGCTCTCTTAGCTTACAGCTCTCTTAGCACACAGCTCTCTTAGCACACAGCTCCCTTAGAACACAGCTCTCTTAGCTTACAGCTCTCTTAGCTTACAGCTCTCTTAGCTCACAGCTCTCTTAGCTCACAGCTCTCTTAGCTTACAGCTCTCTTAGCTCACAGCTCTCTTAGCTCACAGCTCTCTTAGCTCACAGCTCTCTTAGCTTACAGCTCTCTTAGCACACAGCTCCCTTAGAACACAGCTCTCTTAGCACACAGCTCTCTTAGCTTACATCTCCCTTAGCTCACAGCTCTCTTAGCACACAGTTCCCTTTGCTCACAGCTCTCTTAGCTCACAGCTCCCTTAGCTCACAGCTCTCTTAGCTCACAGCTCCCTTAGCACACAGCTCTCTTAGCTTACAGCTCTCTTAGCTTACAGCTCTCTTAGCACACAGCTCTCTTAGAACACAGCTCCCTTAGCACACAGCTCCCTTAGAACACAGCTCCCTTAGCACCCAGCTCTCTTAGCACCCAGCTCCCTTAGAACACAGCTCTCTTAGCACCCAGCTCTCTTAGCTTACATCTCCCTTAGCTCACAGCTCTCTTAGCACACAGCTCTCTTAGCTCACAGCTCTCTTAGCTCACAGCTCTCTTAGCTCACAGCTCTCTTAGCTCACAGCTCCCTTAGAACACAGCTCCCTTAGCACCCAGCTCTCTTAGCACACAGCTCCCTTAGCACACAGCTCTCTTAGCACCCAGCTCTCTTAGCTTACATCTCCCTTAGCTCACAGCTCTCTTAGCACACAGCTCTCTTAGCTCACAGCTCTCTTAGCTCACATCTCCCTTAGCACACAGCTCTCTTAGCACACAGCTCTCTTAGCTCACAGCTCTCTTAGCTTACATCTCCCTTAGCTCACAGCTCTCTTAGCTCACAGCTCCTTTAGCACACAGCTCCCTTAGCACACAGCTCTCTTAGCACACAGCTCTCTTAGCACACAGCTCTCTTAGCACACAGCTCCCTTAGCTCACAGCTCTCTTAGCACACAGCTCTCTTAGCACACAGCTCCCTTAGCTCACAGCTCTCTTAGCTCACAGCTCTCTTAGCTCACAGCTCCCTTAGCTCACAGCTCCCTTAGCTCACAGCTCTCTTAGCTCACAGCTCCCTTAGCACACAGCTCCCTTAGCTCACAGCTCTCTTAGCACACAGCTCTCTTAGCACACAGCTCTCTTAGCTCACAGCTCTCTTAGCACACAGCTCCCTTAGCACACAGCTCTCTTAGCTTACATCTCCCTTAGCACACAGCTCCCTTAGCTCACAGCTCTCTTAGCTCACAGCTCCCTTAGCACACAGCTCTCTTAGCTTACATCTCCCTTAGCACACAGCTCCCTTAGCTCACAGCTCTCTTAGCACACAGCTCCCTTAGCTCACAGCTCTCTTAGCACACAGCTCCCTTAGCTCACAGCTCTCTTAGCTTACATCTCCCTTAGCTCACAGCTCTCTTAGCACACAGCTCCTTTAGCACACAGCTCTCTTAGCACACAGCTCTCTTAGAACACAGCTCTCTTAGCACACAGCTCTCTTAGAACACAGCTCTCTTAGCTCACAGCTCTCTTGTCAGTAGACCTTTTATCTTGGTGGCTTCTGGGTAGTTCAGCTAGCTAAGGTACTTTTACAATAGTAAAGCTGGGTAAAATCTGATCATGCATCCAAAACTGAAACTGAAATTGTATTTGTGGGTAACAGGGTACAGACTGAGCCCTCAGGCGTTGGGCTGCATCATCAAGCGCTTTAGCCGAGGAGGCAAGATCTACTTCGATGACTACGTGGCCTGCTGTGTGAAACTCAGGGCATTGACCGGTGAGTGGGACAGTGGTTTTGCCTCAGAGTGGAGCAGATTTTTTTTTGGTCATTTTGGCTACTTTGATATACCAAAGTGATCTTTGGCCTTTTTGGATTGTAGATGCTAATGGCTTAAACGGGTGTGGGAGAATGAATGAGTGTTTTTGGTTTTGTATATTTTTCCTTTTTTCACCCACCATTTCACAGAACATTAACCACAGACAGCTGCTCTGTAAAGAAATTAAAAGTTGATCTTTTACACCATTTTATTTTCTTGTTTTTCACATCAGCCTAATGCCAGATTTACGCCAAACGGCTTTCTCAAGTGACTTTACGGTCGCAGACAGATTTTCAGCGTCTGAGTGCGTCACGCTCGGATCATCTCGACCGTTTAGTGTGAGGTGGTCAGGACGGCTGTTTTAAGTCAGTCTTTTTCTCATCTTGATGCCACGACAAAAACAACCGTGTTTAATATTATCGTAAGTTTTATGTCTTGGCTCATGTAAATAGTGACATGCCAGGGAAGCGTGTGAGAGCAAGCAGGCGAGCGCATGTGCATGGCGAGAGAGAGAGAGAGAGAGAGAGAGAGAGAGAGAGAGAGAGAGAGAGAGAGAGAGAGAGAGAGAGAGAGAGAGAGAGAATGCATGCGTGAGAGCCTGCTCCACTTTAAAACAACAATCATATTAACTTAAAACGTCAACTGGCTGTTTAAACATTTCAGGTCCGCTGAGCGTAACAGTGATGCACACTGGTTTCTGATTGTTGGTTTGTTTTTTTGGTTTAGTTCATGACAACCAATCAGCAGTTCTGAATCGCTTCATGTTTTGTTGGTGTGTAAATCTTTATGGTAAATAAAAAAGTAGCTGCACATTTTACAGGTCAGTTAAAAAGATTCTGGGTGATGATCTGCCAGAATATACAGTTCTACAGTGAACTGGGCTGAGCTCCAGATATTTACACGCCCAGCCAAAGTATCTTCCCATCTGTACCACAATAGAGTGAAAGGAAAAGTATTTATCGGCCAGGTGCATGATGGGAAATAATCTCAAAAATCTTTTTGAGTTGCAGTCTTGTAAATAGTGACACTGCAAGATTCCTAGTCTTTGCAAAATCATAGTCTGTGACTAGAAACTGTGATGTTGTCTTCAGATGTGAAAGGGTGTCAGACTTTAGTCTTCTAGTGTATGTTCAGCATAATTTGTGCTGTAAATCACAGTAAGGGATCAAGGAACTTCAGAATAAGGATCATTTTGACATTTTAGGGGAAAAGGAAAAACTATTTGACTGAAGGGTTTTGAAAATGTTTAAACAAAGTGAAAAAGCACAAAAAGTTGTAAGAATGTCTCAAGAGAAACTGATTAGTTTATGATTAGCAGTTTATGGTGTTGCCATGGTAACAATTAACTTACTTCATTTGTTTGACTACAATATAAAAATCCATTTTTTCTATTCCTTTGAGAAACTGTGGGCCTTTTGGGTAATATGGTGTACTTTTATATGATTTCTGTTGCAGTCTGTATTCCTTTCTTCACACTAGGGGTGGGAATCTCTAGGCACCTCACGATTCGATTCGTTTACGATTCAGAGGGCTGCGATGTGATTATACAACGATTATCGATGCATCTCGATGCGTCTTTTTATTTATACATGATTTCTATTTTCTTACTGTCTGAGGACTTTGTAGTTTTAAAACAAAGTATTTGTAATGATCCATAATGCATTTACATCCAATATCTTTATTAATAAAACAAATGGAAGTGATGTGGTAAGTGAACTGGAAGGCTCTCATTCACTGCTCTTGTTTGGAGACGCTGCTGCCACTCATCTGAGATAAAATGCGCTGTTACGGTGAAATAAGATGAGTGGTAATGGATGACCACGCAGCACATTATATAGTCTTTAGAGATTTCATAACTTAGGTTTTGGTTTCGTGATGGTGGGGGAGCGCGAAAGACTGCAGGTCACCTAGCAACAAGGTTTCGCCGAGCTGGTAGCGAACGAAAAAGGAAAAGAGAAAGACAGACGAACATTTGGAGACGAATGGACTTATTCGCATTTATAAGCAGCGCAGTTGGTTTCCTGGTACGTTAAATCTGCAACGAGAGACTCACACACTAACTAAAAGATGCAAAGCGGCGAAGATGAAGTCGCTTCCCTAATTTTCCTGTTCCACCTTAAATGGTGCCGCTTTTACATTCAGCGCCTCAGTCAGAATTTAAGGTGGAACCGGAAAGTTCAGCAAGAAGCTGGCGAATGAGAAGCGACTTCAGCCTCGTAAAACAGCCGAAAGCTGAGAGACATTTTACAAGAAACTGTTCAACTTTTCAGGAAAAGTTTTGTGGCGGAGTTGGAAGAAAAGCGGCTAAAGCTGAAGCTTAAAGCAGAGCAAAGTAAATCTGCGTTTTCGTTTATATTTTTTAGCCTAAACTAGGACATCATCACATACTGGACATACATGTTGTGGCTCCCAAGGTGGTTTGATTTTTGTTGAAAGGACAAAATGGCTCTTCTTAACATTTGGGTTGTGACTCCTGACCTAACCTGGCTTTAATGCAGAGGGAGCCGGTCGGATTTCTCACTCATCCGGTTGTGTTTTTGTTATGTGCCGCCACAGACTGTCCGGACGCTGCACTTCCGCACTTCCAAGTTCCTCCCTTTGCGTTCCGTCAACATTACGTTATAAATGAAATATTTAGAAAATCGATTTTTGACATTTGTGAACCGATTCCGAATCATTCACGTCTGCATCGCGATGCATCTAAGAATCGATTTTTTCCCCCACCCCTACTTCACACTGTAAAAAAATAGCTGGAGAATTTACAGTAAATTACTGGCAGCGTAGTTTCCAGTTAAATATTGTAAATGGGCAGTGTTGCAGCATTATGTTACAGTATTTATAGGGATACAAGCACAGTAACAGTCATATAACACACAGTGTGTTTGTGCATACCTACAGTAGGACTGGACATGTTATACAGCTAAATTTATAAAACCTGTAAACAGTTGTAAAATTATAGTGAAGTAGACATACAGTACAATTGAAATTAGAACAAATACATCAGATTACTCTGAAGGTCAGTACTAAGTACTTTACTGTGCAAAACTATAGGTGGTACTCATTGGCATGAACTTCTAGAGTAGGGCTTGCTACCCAGTAAGCCTCAGCAATATTAAACTGGATTTGTTTACACACTACAGTAATCAAGTAAACAGTGTATTATTTTAAATTGTGTAGTTAATAACTAATATTACAGCAATTTTTACAGTGCACACACATCACACGATGAGGCCTAACTTTGAACCTTTCAGAAAGTTTGTGTATAATTCAGTGTTTGTGGAATTTCTTAGAAAAAAATGTAAACTGTAGGAAAATATTTTTATATAAAGAAAGCAAGTTTAAATGCTGTTGGTTTGATGTAAAGTGAAACAATGGAATTACAATCTACAGGACATCCAGTGGGAGTAAATTAACACAGTGCTACTGGATATAGTGTTTTTTCCTTTTTTACCTTTTTTTAGTACTTTATATCTTTGGTTTTTGTTAACGGTGCAATTATTTTCATACCTTCCTGTACTCTTAAAATGTTTATGCATATATAACTGCCTGGATGATGAATGTGGCCTTATCCAGTTACAGCGTATGAGTTTGCCCTTATTTTAATTATACATATAAATTTCTATTATTTTCAGGAAGAAAACAAGTAATTTTTTAATAAGCTCTATTCTGGAAAAAAAAATCTTAATTTTTGCAGTAAAAAGGTAAACCTGTTGTGGTTAAATTATATGTCTTTTTGTTTATTTGTTTTTTGCAGAGAACTTCAGAAGGAGGGATGCTATGCAGCAAGGAGCAGTGAGCTTCCAGTATGATGATGTAAGTAGATTTGTACTTATTAGTGTTTGTGGGTGTGGGTGTGGGTGTGTGTGTGTGTGTGTGTGTGTGTATACACACACACACACACACACACACACATATATATATATATATATATATATATATATATATATATATATATATATATATATATATATATATATATATATATATATACACCGATCAAGCATAACATTATGACCACCTCCTTGTTTCTACACTCACTGTTCATTTTAGCAGCTCCACTTACTATATAGGTGCACTTTGTAGTTCTACAGTTACAGACTGTAGTCCATCTGTTTCTCTGCATACTTTGTTAGCCCCCTTTTACCCTGTTCTTCAGTGGGCAGGACCCCCATGGACCCTCACAGAGCAGTTACTATTTGGGTGGTGAATCATTCTCAGCACTGCAGTAACACTGACGTGGTGGTGGTGTGTTAGTGTGTGCTGTGCTGGTACGAGTGAATCAGACACAGCAGTGGGCTGGGGTTTTTAAACACTGTGTCCACTCACTGTCCACTCTATTAGACACTCCTACCTTGTCAGTCCACCTTGTAGAAGTAAAGTCAGAGACTATAGCTCATCTGCTGCTGCACAGTTTGTGTTGGTCATCCTCCAGTCCTTCATCAGTGGTCACAGGACGCTGTTGGCTGGATATTTTTGGTTGGTGGACTGTTCTCAGTCCAGCAGTGACACTGAGGTATTTAAAAACTCCAGCAGCACTGCTGTGTCTGATCCACTCAGACCAGCACAACACACACTAACACACCACCACCACATCAGTGTTACTGCAGTGCTGAGAATGATCCACCACCCAAATAGTGAGGGTCCTGACCACTGAAGAACAGGGTAAAAGGGGGCTAACAAAGTATCAGAGAAACATATGGACTACAGTCTGTAACTGTAGAACTACAAAGTGCACCTATATAGTAAGTGGAGCTGCTAAAATGGACAGTGAGCGTAGAAACAAGGAGGTATCGGTGTGTGTGTGTGGGTGTTCCATAGTAAGAGGCGTTATAAATTGGTTGGAGTCATTTCTAATGTGAGACCTGCTGATTTATACTAAATATCATTTAAATACAAAAATAGAATAACATCCACACAGATTTCGCCTGCAGTAACCCATAACTTCAATATGTAAGATGGTGAGACAGTTTGACATGTAATCATTTACACATGTTTACAAACAGTACTTTTGTTTTCTCTTGTAGTTCATCACGTGTACCATGTCTATCTGAGTCTATCTGAGGAAGACGGAACAGACGACACCTCTTGAGGGAAATTTGAGCTACTGGAGCTCCGCTGAGAAATAGAACCGTGTATTAGCCAATGTATATGCAAAATAATATATATATGTATGTATCAATCACAGGCATTCAGAATGGCTACCTCTATCAAAGTGTAAGTGCCAGTGGACTCTTTTTATTGAAATGAGCTAACAGTGCATTGATGAGGTGATAAGACGGAGTGCTTTTTAGGCAGAGTTTGTGTCCCCTAAAGCCATTCAATGCCAGGTTTATGTAAAAGGGTCAAACCACATCACTGATGTTTTGTTTTGTGCCAACACAATCCTCAATATTTGTATTATTATTTTCTTATTTCTAATTTTTAAACATTTTAATCATTTTTCACAAGCAAATACTCAGCCACTCCATGATTAGATATTAATAAACTGCATAACAATTAAAAATGGTGTACTGTATTTATGTGAATAAGCATGAGAACTGGTGTAAATATCAACCACCATGGGCTTCCTGATGTGACTAATGATTGGGATTATTGATAAACTGTTGAAATACCATATCACTGCTGTTGACAGAAAACCTTGTATCTCCATTTTTGTAATTTTTCAGTTTTTCACATAATTTAAAAATGCCTGTTGGCCTTTACATTGTGTGTAAATTTCATGATGAATGGCCCAAAAGTAACAACCCAAAATGACTTGGAAAAAAGTCTGGTTCCATTGACTTACATTAAAAGTAAAGTAGCTTTTTTCCTTCTCCTGTAAAGTTACCGTTTTGGAGATACAAGGTTTTCTACCAACAACAGCGACATGCAGTTCCACAAGAAAGATGGCCAGTTTTTCTTACTTACTTACACAGTTCTTACTAACCAAAGCTCACTGGCACAAAACACTAAACACATTTCGGTGGATTTCACTCATCACAGGCTGCTTAAACACATTTAGTTTGCTAAATAACAATTCTCAGTCACGCTTTATTTTGTTGGCCCCCTATAGATGATCTACAGATACTTCATTCATTGACAAACGTTCTGGTGATACCCATTTGATTATCAGCAACATTGTGGTTAGGGTCAGGTTTAGGAGTAGGTTTAGGTTTTGTTTTAAGGTTTAGGGTTAGGGACAGATTTGATAGAATCTTCAACACTCAACTTCAAGTTCAGTTGCATTTAATAGATATTTAGTTGCATGTGACATCTGAGCATCTATTAAGCATCTACAGTGGACCATCCAAAAAAAATCTTACCCAATTCTCCCTAAGCACAGTTTTCATGATAAACTCTGGTCGGTGACAGAACTCTGAACCACACCAGGACAAGCAATAACAGATATTTTCTCTTCTTTCATTGTTGGATATTAATAAAAATTCAAAATGTCTTTTCTCATAAACACATAAGGCAGCGGTAAATTGTATTGTCCAAAAAAATACAATGCATTTATGCATGTTTTCTATACTGTATATATTTTTTTTCCAAATTTTTTTTGTGAGAAACGGCTACACCTGCCATTCAATGATCTTCCAAGAAGGAATAGATGAATAAGGGGACAGACAAGGTCACTAATGTGAAAGCACTTCGCTTATGAAGCACCAAAATCTATTTGAGTCCCAGTGAAACTCCCATTTGGAGAATTTTCTGCCTGCTTAACATGAATGAGAGGGTTAGTAACCAGGTCCATGAGGGGCTTCATCTCTAAAGAAAAAAGACGGCTTTTAAAAAGCCCTACAGTGCAAACTGCTACACAGTAGAGAGCACTTGAGGAGACAGGAGAGAAAGGCCTTGCTCAAGGACATGTTTCATGTCAGCATGGGGCTTTTAGTGTACATGGGCTACTCCATCAAAAAGCAACACTTTGGTGGATCTTCTGTGTTTCTTTGCCTTCTCCTCAAGGAGAAGGGAGGCTTCCAGAGTGAGGAGAAACACATTCGTCCTATGCAGAAGTTGCTTTTGATCATAACAGGTATGTGTTACCATTTCTCTGGATGACTACAGTTAATGGGATGATATGGCCAAAGGAGGATAAAAGTTCATTAAATTGTTGATGTGGTTAAATTCTAGCAAAGCACTTCTATGCAAAAAGGCAGTTGATAATAGGTTCAAGTATTAATTATCCACCCATCTGTGAAAGTGATGATTGAATGAAAGATGTCCTTTGTTTGGTGTGGATTCCTCCCACCTTTCCCTCGGTTACTCAGAGGGAGGAGCTAAGATGTAAGAAAAGGAGGCAAATAAATAAAACAAGGGTCAATAATGAAAGAAAGCAGATGCACCCATATAACCCTGCCCATATTCTTGGTTTCCCTGAATTTCATTAAAAATGGATTTGAAATCTGTCTTGGTTTGAACACAGTGCACATGCTTTGTATACTACATAATTTGGATTTACAACCCCCAAACAGGTTCTGATTGATGTTTACAGCCCAACCTGCAACCATTAATTGTTTGAAGACACCGACGTACCTGTGTGTTTATTAGATTTATGGTGTTATGTTGATTGCTATGATCAGCTATTGAAATGCCATCATGAAGCAACAGGCGGAGCTTTAATATGTACATTTGTGCACCATTCTTGGTGGCTTGAATAACAGGGTTATTTCTCAGCTTTACTCATCACTCAATCTTCCTTTTTAGAATTAACAGTTATGTATCTATTATTATCTCCTACATTAATACTTTTTAATATCACTGCTGTCAGAACAAAACCTTGTATCTCTATTTTTGTCATTTTCCAGTTTTTGACGCAAGTTCAAAGTACCCATTGTCCTTTACAATGTATGCAAATTTCACAATGAAAGGACATCAGAAATGACCCAAAATTTACATTTGAAAACTTGCATTAGAAGTAAAGTACGTTTTTTCCTTTTCCTGTAAAGCTCATTTTGGAGATACAAGATTTTGTTCGGTCAGCAGCGATATGCTGATGCCAAACAAGAGACAAAGCGACATTACTTTAAAAGGATAGTTGAATCAAACTATGCCTCCATTTCAACAGCACTTACTCTTGGCCAGGGCAGCTCTAGCAGGACAGAAATTTGAGAAATGAATTTGCTGGATAGATGCATCCTACGACAGTGCCATAGTGAACGTAACTGAGCTTTGTGGTGTTTGGCTCTGGAGATTTATGGCTGTATGCAGTATCTGTTAGTAGTGAGTGTGGCAATGTAATGTACAATCCATTACTTTTCACCACTGGATATACGTTGTCATTATCGTTTACAGACGGAATCCAGAAAAAACACATATACACAGTGATGCTGCTGCATCACTTCACGAAACAGAATTTTATTAATCACGAGATACAAAATAAATATATTTCTTATTCAGATACATTTACTGTTTTTATATCATTTTTATACTGATGCAAGAAGGAAAGAACAATAACTTTACCACAATCAACAGGTATATAAGAGAGCGAGACAAAGTCTGGAATTGAAGAGAGGCTAGACGGACGAAGCGAGAGCGTTCAGTTAATACCACGCAGAAACCAAAGTCACCAAACCGCATTAACCCCTCAAGCAGAGCATGATCTCTGCCTGACTGCATTCCCTACAGCCTCTCATGCACTAATGCTACTGGAGACTAGAGGATCCTGGGAAAAACACTCACAGCACTGCCTAGGTGGAAACGGGACAAAGCCATCACCATGGTTACGAGAGGAGAATTGGAGGCTTTATCCAAAGAGCAGAGCAAATACAAGGGCCAGGGGATTACTCCTCTACTCATTCCATTTTTAATGCCAAAAGAACGGGAGAGATCCTAAAGAGTTTGGGATGAGTTTGAGTTTTTACAATTTGCTTTGCTCTGTATGTGTGTGCGTTTGTGTGCAGTGGAGGTTTTTGGGCCCAGTACCAACACAGCCTCTGTAGGGCCTCTTCTCATTTTTGGAAAATGTTTACAACCAGTATTTTTAAGAGATGCCAAAATTCACTACTTGCTCAGAAATGAAAAAGTAAACTTTTTAGACCCGACGCCATGAGGGCCCCTCTATCCAAGTCTTGGTAGTCAATTCAGGGGCGTAGCCAAGGTGTTAGGGGGTCAGGTGGGTCATTTGACTGGCCCAATAAAAAAACGAAGACCCAAAAAATAAAAAAAATATTCAAATTAAAATTTCTGACTAGCACTAAGCTACGTTCAGGGATGAGGTTTGATGTACTGCAAAGGCTCCAGACACTGTTTCATGATCAATATCAATAAAAAGTTATTATCAGAACAGGGAAAACAGCCATATTTTTTGGACATGGGAAAAACTGAGGAAGTATTGGGAGAATATCTATAATGCTCTAAACTCTGTCTTTGATATTCCAATCCCTAAAGAGCCTTTAGTGTCATTGTTAGGAGTTGGATAACAGGTGCCAAAACTACCATCTCCACATTTTATTTGCAGCAGCCATTAAAGGTATAACTGTTAATTGGCTGAAAACTAGTGCCCCAACATTTGAGTCCTGGGTGCGTTGATGGGAACTACATAATATGGAAGAAATAGCACATAATTTGAGACTACAGAAGCAGAAATTTGTTAGTTCAGCAATGTCAATAATGCTTTGAAAATATGGTATAATTGAATTTAAACAAGTAGTAGGAATCAATCTCCTCCCTTCCATCCAGGTTACTGTTTTTTATTGTTAGTTTTTGGCAGGTATATGGGAACATCAGTGTGAATGTATGTATGCTTGAATGTACACATCTGACTTACTGTGGCCTGACTGCGAAGTTGTGAATCTTTCTGTGATGCTTTAATAAATAATTAGTTCCAAAAAAAGAACAGGTAAAACATAAATTATGTAATGAATAGCTGAAGTGCTGGACGAGGGCAGGTAAAGCAGGCCCGACTAATTGCTGTAATAATGTAATAATAGCATCAGATCAATAGCTGACCTATGTAAGATACCATGTGACTATAATAAAAAGGTTCACTTAGTAGGGGAAAAAAGACCTGTGCCCACTAGTTGGCTGGCTACGCCCCTGCATGCCTACCACTGCCCCAGCTGTGATGCCCTTGTGTGTGGGCACTGAGTTGGTGTCATGTTAGTACTTCAGAAAGGCAGGTTGAGGCAGCACTTGCTGTACAGCCCCCACCCCCAAGTGCTGTCTCACACTTCTGTGTATGTGTATTTGCTGGAATGGTCTAATCAGAGGGAGGGCAAGGTCTTGGGGTTGCTTCCATGCATAAACATATATTCTGTAAGGAATGTGTGTGTGTGTGTGTGTGTGTGTGTGTGTGTGTGTGTGTGTGTGTGTGTTTTAAACAACGATCAGGTCCTGGTCTGTTGGTCTCACTGGGGCAGAGCTTTTAGAATGGCATTGACCTCTTCAGCCACAGCGGTCAGAGCAAACTCAAACTGGTCCTGAGGAGAGAGAAGAACAATGCTCAGCATCATTCTACAACAGGCAGTGAGCTCCCTTCTCATCTCTTGTAAATGTTTAAAAAATAATCGTATCACAATTATATCAACTAAATACAGTCTATCGCAAAGGTCTGGGAAACTTTGGTCAAATTACTTTTTTGTTGATTTCCTAATTGATTTTCCAAGTCAACACATCTTCTACAGAGAACACACTTGCATATTGCAGTGCACAATTGCTGTTTATCAACTGACTGTAACATACTGGGAGTAAGATACTGTGCACTAAAATCTGCAGAAAAAAATGTTTTCTTCTGTTTTTTTATTTTATTTTCACTTAGAAATTCAACAAAATGTAATTTGACCACAGTTGTTCAAACTTCTACCTACTACTGTATTGTAATTATGTAATATGTACAATCTAGGGAGGCATTGCTATGGGCTGACGCTGATATTTTTTATGTACATATCTCCCTATGCTGATAGCGATGCCAATACAAAAACACCGGGACTACATATACATGGATTAGCATTACAGAGAAGTATAACTTTTTCTATTTCTATTTCTAACTATTTCTTTGGCGCTTCAAATACAGTAAAATTAATAAAATACAGATATTTTAGCACAGTAGGCCAGCATCACCTAAACATTCTGCTCATCCAGAGTACAGTAAATAATTATTTAGATACCAGTTTGAAATATTGGTGAAATCTGAACATCTGTCTAATGCCGGTATTTCTTTTTTAAAGCCAATATCTGTCAATACCAACATGATTCCAATATCATTATGTATCACTAATATAATCCCAATAATAAAACTGTTGAAATGCTATATCTATGTTACACAAGTGGCCACTCCCAGGAGGAGAGGAGGGGACAGTGAAGGGTGGATTTCCCCAATTACAACACATGTCCTCAGCTAGGTTAGCCTCACTGAGCTAATCGTCTAGCCATGCAAACTTTAATGCAGGATTTGAGATGTGTGAACATATATAAATATTGTGAGTAACTGCTTTGTCTGGCTATAAGCTTTGGTTCTATATAGTGAAATACGGCGTTTAGTTTTTTGTTGTTGCTAGCTGTGTAGCCATTAGCTTGCTAACTAGCACGCCAGCGGAGTAATAAAGTTGTATCAGCAGCCATGAATAACAGATGGAGTAGTCTGCTACCTAAAACATTCTGAACATAGCAAATCTAATGTCAAGGTTTTGAAATATTTAAGGTTTTAAAATATTTTATTGCTATGGCTTATGAACAGCTTTGTCCACAGCTTTACAGGACCAGCGCATTTCCCTTTTCAAACTCCGAAACAGCTGCAAACAGCTTTTATTTTTGAGTTTGACAAGGGAAATGAGTCAGGTGACATTGATTTGATGCTGAAGCCAACACTTGTGTTCGCTTGATCTAAAAAAGGGTCACCTATCAAGCTTCATTTGAGCTACTCAAGTGATGGAATAGCCCTTAATATGATGTCAAGGGTTCCTCCAAAGGAAAACGATGAGGCAATGTTGATGACCAATGATGCCACAGCCATCTGTGGAGTCCAGAAGAGCATAATTGACCTTTTTCTCTTTGGCTGGGAAGGATGGTCCTCCCTCTTCCCTATCAGTCAGCAGTGATTCTAGCCAATGTTAGCAGAATTGGCAGTTAGCTTTGTTCTCTAAGGCTACGTTTACACAGCAGGTAAAAGTGGCCCAAATCCGATCTTCTCCTTCATATGTGACACAGATGTGTGTCTGTGTGTCAGTGTGATCAGCAAAAAACGTACTGAATCTGACATTTCAATTCCGATTTGAGACGCTTTCATATGTGGTACTGAAATCCGATACGTATCCGATCTGCAGCAATGCGAGTCTGAACAGCCAGATCGCAATTCATGTGACTTTTATGTCAGTCCAACTCGGCATTCGTCATAATTTCGCACTGCTGACACTCATAAACATTTAGGCTGATGTTTCTGTACCAAAAAATTAGAAGAGACGTATCGCAGCTGTTCTGTGTTCAAAGAGGTTTCGAACGAAACGGCCAAACGCGGCCGGAGGAGACAGAGGCTGCAGCGTCAGAGAACAGTTTAAAGAATCCGAGGACACGAACCAAAGAAGTGACCGAGGCTGAATAACATGCCCTTTTTACGGCAAACTCCAACACACTGTGGGTGATGAGTCCAGCTGTCAACCATTGGAACTTCATAATCGCTCCTGTGATGCTGGCGAAGACGAGACTGAAAGCTCCAGGAGCGACAGGCGTTCGCTGGCCGTCATGATTGTTTACCTCTGTACGAGCCACATGAAGCACTGTGGGTCGGTTTAGGAGCTGATCTGTTCAGGCTGATGTCACATACAGATCACGTTTAAAAGATATTGTGAACAGCCAAACAAAAAAATCTGATTTGGTGAGAAAATCAGATTTGGGCCACTTTTACCTGCTGTGTAAACATAGCCTAAGTGCTTTGAGCCATCCAACCATTTTAGCCATTCTTTTAATCATGGCACTAATAACTTTTTAAACTATACACCATTTTAGTGCAGGCCATCAGGGTAGATGATGTGGCTGATGAAGGAGATGCGGTTGGAAAGTGCTGTTTGCTACTTTGTATATTGAGCTGCTTCATGTTTGCAACAGTGATAGGCCAGTCGTTTACCTTCGTGCGCACCATTCCTGGTCTCTGGTCCCGAATGTGCTCCAGCGTTGCTGCGATATCAATTTCCTTCACCCCTACGCCACAAAAAAAAACAACTCAAAAACGACAGTTCCTATACTCTGCACAGACTGAGAAATGAAGCCAGATAATGACAGACTTAAAACATACTAATCCCTCATTTTCAGTTAGAACTAAAATAGGTATAAAATTCAAGATTGTCCACTGGACCATTACTAGACACTTAACGGATGAGCCTGTTAACGCAGGATTATCACAAAATAATAGTGCCAAATAGTCATTATACAGACAAAATGGCAGGTATGCATGTAAAGAGCTTAAGGATCCACCTTTAGCCATGCGGTTTAGAACCATGTCAATCAGGATGTACGTTCCAGTCCGGCCTGTACCATCACTAAAGGAGAGAGGGGAGGACACTTAGCAAATTCCAGTCCAACCCAAGCATAAATTTAGCATAAAGGTGTCTGAAATAAAAACAATGTCTAAACCCAAAACACACTGAGTCAAGCAGAGTCAAGTACGTTTTAGTGTCAACAAGGAAAAAAAGAAAAAGAAAACAGAAAACAAAGCAAACTATTTTTAGAGTTTTCTGTGTAGGCAAGTGAGTGTACCTGCAGTGGACGATGATGGGGCAGGAGCGTCCTCGGTAGCATTTGTTCACCTTCCTGTGTGGAAGAGGAAGAGAGACAGACGAGAGGAGAGAAACGCTCACACTTTAAAGAGAAATATAACAGCTAGTGGGCACATCTATATCAGAGCAAAGACATAAATTCAATAAATCATCGAAAGACAAGCCAAAGCAAGGACTGAGCAGTGAGGAACAGCCTTGAGTCGATCAACTGACATGACTGAATACCGTGATAAAGCTAATGTTATGCAAATGATCATTCTTTTGTTCTACCACAATTTTTTATTGCATCACCTTAATGTAACCATTCCCTTTATACAATGATTAAAAACTATTTTAAAGTGCATAGAATGGAAAACACTACACACACATATACTTTTAACGCCACTTAGAAAGATTATAATGTAGATTTTCAGTCTGCCAAATTGCTGGGGAGTATGAATTTAGGGATGTGCATTTAAATGCTGATATCCGAGTATCTATAAGGGTGAATAAACAGATAACTGATTAACTGCAGGGAAGGAAAAAAGCAAGGGGGAAAAAACGACATTAAAGAGTAACTCCACCCTAAGACCTTTTTTTCATTAACAGCTGAAATACTCTGCTCTGTAATAATAAAATATACCAGCCTTGCTTGAAATATGAACACATCTTTCCAAACTGTAAAAATATCATTTTTACTGTGGTCAGTTCCGCCTCAGCAGCGCCCCCCTCTGGTTCAACTCTGCTATAGGCGCAGATGACGTGTCTTCGTACCAAAGTACAACGACACGTCACAGTATGCAAATCAGTCAAACAACGTTACCGCCCCCTGATGACGCCCTACTCGTGCAGCGCTGATAAATATGAAAGCTTAGGACCCTGGAGCGAGGAGATAACCACCCTCACGCGCTGAGCTGAATACCCCCAGCACCACCTCACAAGGCTGCGATATGCCAGCTGTACCAACTGTAAATAACCCAGTTAATCTGAGCTTAGTTTGTAATAAAGATGTTGGACTGATTAAGTGAGATTTCTTGCGAGTCTCCATAAAGCTGCTGGTCTTGCATCCGATTCACGTTTCCCTTCACAACTCGAACCATCTGGCACGTGCACTGAACAGACATCAACACTGGAACTATGGAAAGCGACAAGGTTCAGGAAAGGTTCATGTTAAATGGCCATGGTCAATCTTTCGTCTGTACAGCCTTTCTCGGACTTTCTTCCAGCTTTCCGTAGTTCCAGTGTTGCTTGCCGCTGATTTCTGTTCATGATTGCGGCGACCGAGGGTTCGATTTATAAAGGGGAATGTGAATTTCAGTGGGAACTGAATCGGATGTAACACCGGTAAGTGCCATGAACAGCTTGCAGAACTTAAAGATTTAGGGCCGCTGCAGCAAACCTTGGCTAACCGGAGATGCAGTTTGCGACCTTAATGTAAAACTGAATGAAACTTGGACAGAGTTCAAAGAAATACACTTTATTCATTCGGAATTCAGTGCATTTAAGAAATCAGGACTCAGGTTATATCGAATATGGACCTCATTTTCAGGTACTGCATTAACTCTTCGATGGCACTGCTTGATCAGAAACACCTTCCCTCGTCGAAGATGGGATGGTAGTAGAGAAAAATCGTCAACCTCATAAGATTCTCAGCTGCAAAAGTGTCGTTTGATTCTGTCCCTCTCCATATTTTCTGGTAGCTAATGTACGCTAGATCTAAAAGCATGCCCCTCCCATTTTTGAGCATTTTTCAAAGTTAGCCAGGGGTGGAGTTGGTGGAGCTGAAAATAGTGGGGTCTTTAATGTAGAGCTGTATACTTCCCTTTTAAAGTGACAACGCTGGTGTTGTACGAACATTTAGCAGCTTGCAGAAGAATACATCTCAAACCATGTTTCATTATTGAAAATTAGCCGAGGGAAATTAGTAGGTTTCGTTGTAGAGGTCGCCTCTTCAGATGAGCCAATAAGCTAACAGAGCTAACCAGGACACCTGAATGGTGATGAGGCCTGATTGTCTTCTTACAGGTTAATGATGTGCCAACATGTTAGTTTGTCAGAGGAATATATTTTCACGCCTTCTGGACCAAGCCTTCATCAGCTGGAGTAGTCAGTCTACTTAGCAATAAAGCCATGCTTGAAGTCATGTCTTTAACAGTCCACGGCAACGTGCTAACGTTAAGGCGCTTCTGTCTCACTATAACAAAGTATAATATAACATTAGTTACTCGCAAATATGAATGAACTCGCTATAATTTACAATCCTGTTAAAATTAAATCAGTGTTTCACTTAATTGTTTGTGTATTTTCTCTATCTTGCTGTGATAGACCATGAAACGAGCACCTGAACAGTGATTTCAGTATTTGAATACTGACACACTGAATGGTTAACTAAGTACTCGAGTAGCTGTGCACATCCCTAATGCAAACCAAACAAAACATCACACCTGATAGGGAGTAAAATGAATGAGCTTGTCCAGAAGAAGGGAAAAAAATTCCAACCCATAAACAAGAAGAATGATCGGATGTTTACAGTGTTACATGCCGTCTGAGCAGAACTCAGTTATTATTATAAACTATTAAGTAATATTAGTCACCAGCTCAATAGGTAATTACATGGTAATTACATTACCATCAGGGAAAATGCAAGCTAAAGGGCCCATGTTTTGAACACAAGGCCCGTGGGCCGGGTCAGGCCAGCCACACAATCCTTTCCGGCCCACAAAAGTATTTTAATTTTCTATTAATAGCCCATTTCACAATGTGCTGCACTGCAGTCCCCAGCATGCACTGCAACGTAATGTGCTCCGACTCTCCAACCACAACAACAGTCTATGGGGCAGCAGTTACACCTCAATTCTACAGAATTCTATGTAATTCAACACCAGTCATATCACCAAAATGCATTTCAGCTGCAGTTCAGCCAACATAAACACTAACGTCAGCTCAGCAGCTCAGAAACTGAGCCCGAGTATTAATTAACTTGCAGCAAAGAAAAGATGTCAGGTGTCGAGTTCAAGCAAATAGGTATGTTTAAAAGACTGTGAGCTCCTGGGGATGTTTAAATTTTGAATATTTCAAGTGTCCATGTAATATTTTAAGGTCAACTACAAGTGTCTGTATTTTACTGTTGAGGTTTTTGCATATTTTGAATAAACAATGGCCAGTTTGGGTTACAGCACAACATTTATTAAAAACATTATTAAAACATTTTTTTTCTCTGGCCCACAGATGAGATTTGATGAGATTTTTTAATATGGCCCATTTACTGGTTGAGTTTGACACCCCTGCTATAGGATAAGGCTCATATGTGGTACCGTGTAAATGAATTTGGAACATGATAATTTTTATCACACTAACTCTGCAAGCGATAATCATTTGACTAAATGTACATTATCCTCCAAGCTTAGTGAGGAATTACTCAGAGAAATGATCAAACAGAGAAAGACGGACGTACAGACAGACAGAGAGAGAGACAGACAGGCAGACAGACAGACAGACAGATTGAAACAGACAGATAGAGAGATAGATGGCTAGCTACCGAGATAGAGAAATAGGCTGAAAGAATAAGAGTGAGCAGCAGATAGAATGGACAGAGGGAGGGAGGCTTTGAGGCGATGGAGCGTGCCATCAGCGTTGCTCTTGCTGCAGCCACACCTGTCCGTGCTCATTTTTGTGACTATGCAACTGGAGTCAGATTACTAGCTGCAAACCACAAAAATGACACAGACAGCTGTGCAATACCATGGGCCCCGCTGCGCTCCATCGCACACGCAGAGAGACAGAAGGACAGAGAGAGACAGAGAGGGACAGGGAGAGAGAGTGAGAGGAGGCGGAAAGAGACAGGGATAAGGGCAGTATGACAAAGGAGAGACAAATGGAGGAAAAGAGGCTGAAGACAACTCCAAAGACAGAGAGATAAAGGTGATGAAGTGACAAAAGTGACAATGGGCAAAAAAGAAAAAACATAGAAAATCAGGAGACGGGAGGACCGGCGGCGGGGGGGATAACAAACACTGCACGGGGGAAGTGACTGTGTGTGGCGCAGTACCTGCGGAAGTCCAGCAGGGGGCGCGTGGAGGTTGGTATGCCTTGTGCAGGCCAGCTCAAGAAGTGGAACTGAGTGAGAGTGCGCGTCTCCTGCGTCTGGACGTTCTTCAGGTAGAAGCTACGCACCAAGAAGTCGTTACACCAGATGTGCTCGGACACCAGGTTCACCTGCGTATGACATCAGAGGCCATTTCCACACAGATCATGACCACACAACCACTTTCAGCCTTTAAGACATGTTTGATTTATTCAGTTTGAATATGCTGCACTCAGCTTAAGTAAAAGAGCAATCATCAAGCTACTTCGACATGTTTATGTCAAATACACACACCTCGTAGATGTGGTAGAGGGAGGAGCCTTCATCAGGCCAGTAGCGATCGCACTGCTTCTCTCCGTCCTCAACAAGCGCAGTCATCATAACGATCACGGTACAGCCGTTCTCCCAGACCATCTAATACAACACACACACATCAAGTACAGCTAGGGATGACTTTGTATCGTTGTATTGTGACTACCATTATTAGATTGTGGCTAGTGCACTATGTCAGGACACTATAAAGCACAGATTTGGTTTAAAATATTGGCCAACATTTTATTATAGGGTACTGTTCATAAGGCTACATGACAGCTACATAAGATTTTCATGATAACTGACATAACACAACATAAATATTTATGAATGCTTATTCCAGTAGGCGTTATTTGCTATACAGGTTACATTTGCCAATTTTGATCAGTTAGCTAAAGTAACCTTTATGACAGATGACGCCTATTGGAATAAGCATTTATAAGCATTAATGTAGGGTTATGTCAGTCGTCATGACAAGCTCATGTAGGTGTAATGTAGCCTGATTAACAGTGTCCCACAGTACAGTGTTATGAAATACTGTACCTTTAAATGCTCCAATAAACAAAAAATGGAACGTTAACGTACAGCACATTTTCAGCCACTCCTTATTGTTTGCTGCACTGATTTGAGTCATGAATTTTTTGGATTGTTACACCCAGTGGAGAGAAGAAGGCATAATGATTTCTGTGAAATAAAAAAAATGCATGCTTGTAATTTTCAGTTTATTTTTATTGAACAGAGTCATCGTGCTTGTAGTAATACTCTTATTTTATGTTTTGGTTGGAAACAAAAGGGCTACATTCTTTAAAACTCCCACAGAAAATGATTAAATCAGAATTTCTTTTCACTGTGGTATCTAGGTGGGACTTCAGGAGCTAAAGGTAAAGGTAAGGTAAAGGCCTTAACTAATAACATATTAAGTAACTGACAGTGGATCAGTCATTCTTTAATTTCCAGTGGGTGGGTCTCAGAAAAACATCACTCCAGGCCTTCTGGAAGTCCTAAATACATCACTGCCTGCAAGTGGTAGACTGACCGATGCATTTCAGGCAGTTGTTAGAGATAGAAAACGGTAGCAGAAGCTCTATGTCAGGGTTCTTTGTAAATTTCTATTTTTTTCGTAAAACGTGGTAACACTTTCTATGAAAGTCACATTTTTAAGCATCTATATGCACATTCATAAAATGTTATAATGCATTCATAAGGCATTATAAACATGGTTATAAATATTTATAAAAATGAATACTTCATAGCCATGTTCATTATACATTATGAATTGCTAACATAATACATTATAAGTAGTGTTAATAACATGTTATACTTGATAGTAGAGTGCTGTCATTGTAATTTGTTCCCTCACTGGTTCTAACGTCAAGCGCTAGAACCCTTCACTCTGTAACATCACGACACTACACTACAGTAATGCTAATTTCTGCTGGCATTCTATTGGATATGCAGTGTTAGCGCTGAGCTAACGGTGGTGTACATTCTCACTCTGAACACTGGAGGAGGCTTTAGTACAGTACGCTTCACTTTACTTAGAGTGGACAAATACGACTTATGAGCTCTTATAATTTGTTATGATCAGTACTTATAATGCATTATGTTAACAATTCATAATGCATAATAAACATGGCTATAACATGTAATGCATTTTTATAAATATTTATAGCCATGTTTATGATGCCTTATGAATGCATTATAACATGTTATGAATGTGTTTATAGATGCTTATAAATGTGACATTCATAGAAAGTGTTACCAAACATGTTTTATCAGGACCTGTCCAGGGTGCATCCTGCCTTCCACCCCGATGACTGCTGGGATAGGCTCCAGCTCCCCCCACGACCCAGAAGAATAAGCGGCTTAGAAGATGTGTGTGTGTGTTTTAATCAGTACTGTCCATGTTGGACATTTTTTTTTTTTAAATACAACCCTGTTTCCAAAGAGTTGGGACGCTGAAAATACGAATAAAAACAGAACGCAGTGATATGCAAATCATGTAAACCCTATATTAATTAAAAATAGTACAAACACAACAACTGAAAACTGAAAAATCTTGTTGCTTTTTGAAAAAATCTATGCCCATTTTGAATTTGATGCCAGCAACACGTTCAAAAAGTTGGGAGGGGGGCATGTTTACCACTGTGCTGCATCACCTTTCTTTTAACAACACTCTGTAAGTGTTTGGGAACTGAGGAGACACTGCTGTAGTGCTGAAAGTCAAATGTTTTCCTGTTCTTGTTTGATACAGGATTTCAGCTGCTCAACAGTTCAGGGGCTCATTTGTCATATTTCTCCAAATGTTATCAGTGGTGACAGGTCTGGACTGCAGGCAGGCCAGTTTAGCACCCGGACTCTTTTACTACGAAGCCATGCTGTTGTAATACGTGCAGAATGCGTTTTTGTATGTCATGCGATACCTTCTCTGAAAAAGACGTGGTCTGGATGGCAGCATATGTTGCCAAAACCTGCATATTCATGTTGAAACATGTTGAAACTTTGTTCTAAACGGATTTCTGTGAAGCTGCTTTGTGACAACATCAGTTGTAAAAAGCGCTATACAAATAAATTTGATTTGATTTGATTTGATATACCGTTGAGCATTAATGGAGCCTTCACAGATGTGCAAGTCACCCATGCCATGTGCACTAATGCACACATATTCTATCACAGATGCTGGCTTTTGAACTGTGTGCTGATAACAAGCTGGATGGTCTTTGATAACAAGCTGGATGGTCTTTAGCCCAAAGGATGTGGTGTCTATGATTTCGAAAAAGAACTTTGTTTTTTTTTCACAGGTCACTTTTCATCTTTTAATCACATTATGTACCGTAGATTATGAAATCCCTCAGCTCTTTGCTATGTTATGTTGAAAAACGTTATTCTTGAATTGTTGCACTATTTGATCGTGCAGTCTTTCACAGAGTGGTGAACCCCTCCCCATCTTTACTTCTGAAAGACTCAGCCTCTCTGAGAAGCTCTTTTTATGCCCAATTATGTAATTGACGTGTTGCCAATTAACCACCAGGTATTTTTTTGCAGCATTACTTTTTCAGCATTACACAGCATCTTTTGTTGCCCCGTCCCAACTTTTTGGAAACATGTTGCTGGCATCAAATTCAAAATGAGCATTCATTTTGTCTCCGTTTCAACATATGATATATTGTCTTTGTACTATTTTCAATTAAATGTAGGGTTTGCACAACATTGCACTCAGTTTTTATTATATTTTGCACAGTATTTCACTTTTTTGGAAATGGGGTTGTAAAACATTCTACTTTTTAATGAACATATATGCCAGTATGTTAAATTCAGCAAACAAAGAGTAACAGTGCATTAAAATGTGCAGGAGTGTGTTCTCTGTAGAGGCAGCTTACTTATTTTTACTTATAAAATCAACAAAACACATTATTTGACAAGGGATGCCTAAAATTGTATGTTAATGTACATTAATGTCTGTTACAAGCTTCAAATAAAATATGCAACGTCTTTTACAAGCTTCAAATGTTCATGATTAATCTAGAACAGACAAAAATGTGCTTGTGCATCACTGTTAGCTTCGCACCAAGATACTATCATTACTAGCAGAAATTGGCACTACCATGAAGGTAATTTCTTCCTCTTTTTTGACTGACTTTTGACATGTATGGCCCAAACTGAAGGCCTAGCTTTAGTCCAAGTTTGCCACTAGTTAAACCCCTAAGTACAGCGGTTCTCTCTTATCATCTATGACCTACGTTGAAATAGACATACAGTACTGTGCAAAAGTCAGAGGCCAAACTTGATTTATCTGATTTACAGTCAGAACTGCTAATAACTACAACTTATTTATTTTGCAGCAATCAAGCAGGAAACATTTACTTAAGACAAAATGACACAGAAGCTTCATCAACTAAATAATAGAAAAGTATAATAAATAATCTTTTTTTCAGCATTTCGTCTGCCCACCATTCGCCTTTATTCCATTCTTTTCTGTTTCTCATGATCCGGAAAGATCAAGGTTTTGCTCACACACACACACACACACACACACGCACACACACACACACACACACTGACTGACCTGCCAAAAGTCAGAGATGGTGTGTGAGAGGGGTCCTTGGGTGGCGATGTACGCTGGCATTCTGGGGTCATGCTCAATCTAAAGGGTCAAAAGGAGACAAAAGGTCGGGGGTCAGTGCTTCAGCCCCCTCTAACCCTGGACAGGCCCGTCACTACGGCGACGGGCCATTCATGTGGTCAGCACACAGGAAGGCTTAATAGATGATCCCCTTTCGCTACAACAGAACAGCGGGGATTCCAAACCAACTCCGCCTGAGCTACATCAATACACCGTAGCCATGGCAACGGCAAGACGGGGATTCCGGAACCCAAGGCAGCCCTGCACATCACTGCGGAATAAATGGATTTTATCACCTTGGCAACCGAAGGGGAGGTGTGTGTGTGGGGGCTTGAGCGGGTAAAGTTCTGCTGTGAGATGGCAGAGGAAGAGCAAGGTGCGCCATTAGATAAGAGAGACAGCCTTTACTGACATTTTCTCAGACGGCAGCTGTGTCCAGTTTTAGAGCTCTATGCAGAATCAGCTGCAGACAGAGACAGGAGTTAACCCTTAGGAGTGAAACCGGTCATGTGATTCATGGTGTAATTCAGTATTAAAGGAGTGGTTCATGGTTTTGTCGCTTGTTTCAATGAGCTATGAGTGAGTCATAATTAAGGAATGGTTCAGTGAAAAATCTAATTTTCCACTTAAGAATGTAGTTGACTAGCCAAGATATGTCTGGTGTCCAAATTTAGCTTTTTTTTCATTTTAAATTAGAAATACAAGGCCAACGTCACTAAAAATACATAAAAACCAACCCCACTAGAAATAGTCATCTAAAATATTTTTCATATATATATATATTCCCGAAACATCTCAACCAACTCAAACCACATCCAGGTCTCCATTAAGGCCATGCAGACTTGTTTTTGTGGTTTAAGGCACAGAATGATTTTCTGTGAACTATAACCATGAACAAAACTTCACCATGTTGCTGAATACTGTGAGCAAGTGCTTTAAACAAGAGGTGCTGGGCCAAATTCCTACTTATCAGTGTGAAAAAACAAGGTTAACAGTTATTTATAAAAGACAAACACCAGAAATCTGGAACATGCACTTGACATTTGGTTCAATTTTGGAACACTGTTGTCTAAAGTGACCGCCCATACTGTGACGCTTTGTTCATTTTTTATAGTTCACATTACGTCATACCATGCAATAAATCACACTGACAAGTCTGCAAAACTTTAATAAAGACCTGGATGTAGTTTGAGAGAAGTTTTGGGGATTTATTTCCCAAAAAGATTTGGGTGACCATTGACTTCTAGTGTTTATTAGCAAGGTTAGCCTCTTAGCTCCAGCACTACACTAAAGAAGCAAAATATGGACATCAAACATGCTTCGGCTGACGTTAGTGGAAAACTGAATATATTAGATTTTTTACATAACCATTTCTTCAATTATTATCACTGATAGCTCATTGAAACAAGCGACAAACCTATATCGGACTCATTTGTGACTGCAAGTGTATTATTATGATTTAATTTAATGTATTGTTATACACACAGTCCTGTTTTATTGAAAGAATTTTTAAAATGTATGTCATTTGTTATGTCATACTTACTATGTAATTAAATACGTAATTACGTCTGAATAGTATCACAAAACGAACATAATAATTGTCCATTTCTAAGCATTAATCCATTGAACAACAATCTCCACTAAAAACTACTATAGACTAATAGGCAGGTTATGATGCTGTAAGAAGATGAAGTGTGGGGTGCCATCTTAGGGTTCCCTGGAGAAAGATTAAGTCTAGTCCTGGACTGTATTTTCCTATCTACAGTTAATTTCCATTCATAATGTTGCGTAGCCCAGGACTAAGCTTAATTCCCGTCCAGAAACAGACCCTCAGTGTTTAAAGGGTTAATGCACAGAGGAAGGAAGGTGTTTCTTTGTTGCAGTGATCTAAACCTGAACACAGGCTCAAACAGCGGTGCCGCTTCACTTACTATGGTGCTGGCGTTGATGTAGTCAGTCCTCGAGGGGTTAATCTCGGCCTTCAGTTTCACACGGGAGTGATCATCTGTACAACACAGCATGGAATTACACACAATTAACACATTTGGGGGACAGAGTGAACAAAAGAGGAGATGCTGTCTGTTGGGCTTCTTTCACTTTATTAAATAGTCAAATTTAAAAGGCAAAGCGTTCACACCCCCACGCTCATGATAATGTATGACAGTGGAGGACAAATTACTGGAACTGGCACTGATTAAAATTAGAGAGAAAAACGTTTTTAAAACATGGTTCCAAAAAGCTCACACGGCACAGCGTCCGGACAGCGGTTCTTTTTGAGGTTGCTTTCGTTCTGCGCGACAGACACAGTGCTGGGTTCTGCCTGGTAGGAGCACAATGCCTCCCACTCCTTCATCAGGCGGTCCTTATTCTTCACATGGTCCTCCATATATGCCTGCAGAGAGAGAGTGAGAGAAAGAAAGAGATCAATGTATGACTTTCCACAAAACTATCACATTATTTCCCGAATATATCACAGTATAAAAATGTTATGTCAGCTATCATTAATGAATAAAGGTAATGAACCCATGCTTTGGGCATCTTACCAACTTGGCACAGCCTGCTTAGATTGGACTGTTTTGTTCTGTTCTGCTTTTCTTAAAGTAGGGGTATTGCATATGTCAATCAAAAAAAATCCAGACTTAGTATTTAATTAGTTTTTATTCATTTTAAAACTGTGCTGTAAAGAATATTAACCCCTGTGTGGTGTTCAGGTCTGTGGGACCCATTTTCAATGCTTACCAAAAGAAAAAAAATACGCGATTTATTATTATTTCAACCCCAGATTCTTGGCCTTTGTTCATTTTCTGTGAAGAACATATAAAATAACCCATTTTCAGGGTCTTCACTCTGTTCACCCCCCACACATTTATATTACACATGTGGTGTTGGGTGAACCTGCGGGGAGTAAAAGTGTGGAGGTGCTGTGTCCTTCACTCTGCTCTCCTCCTACACGGCCTGATGTTAGTGTGTGTGTGTCTGTGTGTGTATGTGTTTGTATATGTGTGTGTATGTGTGTGGGTGGACAACGTGGACAGGCTGCTGACTGGCTACAGCTGCTAAAGGAGAACCCTACACTGGCCACTTGTGATATTTTAAACATCTAGTATTTTTACATAAATTATCATGGCTGTATTGATTTAAAAAAACAATAATGCGGTGGGTCCATCAGCCCACTGAGTAACAAACACATCAACACCACACAAGGGTTAAGCAGCCAGAAAAAGTCCAGAATTGTGCAAAAATAGTTTTGAACAAATACATGCCGACTGCTCAGATATATGTAAACATGTCATTTTCACAGAATATCTAAGTATTTTGTACAGTACTAGGGCTGTGCCGTTAACAGTGTCCTCTTATTCTTATATTTTCCCTTTGCTTTACTGTTTCATCTTGCAGTTTTCCAATGGTGCCTTAGACTGAAGTGGACACGAGAGAAAATGCAATGATCCTATGTGAGTTGAGCCTTAATCTTTGTGAAATAAAAGAGCATCATAAAGGGCAGATCAGTAAAAGTCGTGATTTTAGTATATCGCTGTTGTCTGAAGAAAACCTTATATCTCCAAAATGGTAACGTTACATGAGAGGGAAAAATCATACTTTACTTTTAATGTAAGTCAATGGTACCAGAATCTTTTCCAAGTCTTTTTGGGCCGTTTCTTTTGGTCCATTCATTGTGAAATTTACACACAATGTAAAGAGCAACAGACACTTTCAAACTATGTCAAAAACTGAAAAACAACAAAAATGGAGATACGTTTTCTTCCGACAGCAGTGATATGGTCATCTTTAATTGGGCCATGCCTTCTACTCTGTAGCCATTTCACCTGAGGCCATTTCGACCAATCAGTTTCGCTTGATGAACGAGAGCTGAGACTTTTTTTTCTTGTGTTTTCATGAGACAGAAGGCATTTTGCAGTCTGAAACCAGATGCTAAATGTACACTGTACGATAGAGGCAGCTTTTTGTGATATCTGCCTGCAGCACAGGGTGTGTTTAACCAGCGCAGCTGCATTTCTACAACAATTTTAACTATGTTGGGTACAATAAATGTTCAAAAGTTCAGCTACAAATACTGCTGTCTTGGTATGGTTTGCACTAAATAAACTAATAAATGAACAACTTTTTATTAAACTGGTGGTGAATCAGTTTTTTACCATCACTGAGGGCTGTTACCATGGTAACTCGATTGACCGCACCAGGCACAGGTCTACACATTACTCTATATGGCGATTAACTATGTTTTACCTGTATATTAAGACTGATAAAACTAAAAATTAATATCATTGTGTGATGCCAAAGCCAGCACACCTCATAGGCAGTATATCATCCAGCACTGCATCAAAGTGTGCCTGTTTCTGTGCCTTATTTGTGTACCAGTATCATGTGTCCGGTGGAGATGTCCATGTTGGACTGCGCTGGCTCCTCGCACCAGGAGGGGGTGCTGCTGTGAGAGCTGGGGCTGGGCTGAGCGGCATCGCTGAACTGAGACGATACACTGCTGACCCTCGACGTGTCTGTCCCTCCTCCTCCCCCTGAGCCTCCTACTGTGCCTCCCCCGCCTGTAGCCCCTGCCTCGCTCTCGTGCTTGCCTGAAGAGGACTTCGCAGCCATGTGCTGCCGACAGAGGTCCTGAGGGTGGGGCAGAGAGAGGCAGAGAGAAATAAACAAAAAAACTGAGGCGAAATACGTTCACCTATGTTACCACACACAGAGTTAGCACTCTGAATGACACTATAAGAGATTATAGGCTTTTGTAGAGAATGCAGGTCTCATTAAACAGAGACAGGTAGAGAAATAATGATACACAAATTTCCCGATGCGATATGTATTCTCAGTTTTGCACTATGACGCAATTTTTGTTACATAATTTGAAAAGGAATTCTACCTTAAACATTTATTTTTGCATTTATTTTCTTAGATAATTCTCTAAACGTGCCTAACATCCATAAAGTAAACAAAAAATGGTAACTATAAAGCTAAATATTAAATCAACTCTCAATATTAAATGAACAGAGCATTACAAGTTCTGTACAAAGTGCGGCTCTCACTTTCTGGAAACGAACGTGATTTTCTATCTGCGGAATCCACAACCGAATAGAGGTGGACTCTACAACTGAAAAGAGGTGCAAACCGGTACCTATAAGCATCTCTACGGAGCACGTTATTTGATTCACCCTTTCAGAATCTGCACTTAGCAGCTAAAATTCTCCGTTCCACCTTAAATGGAGCAGCATTAACATGTAACAGCTGCTCCAATTGAAAAATTGAATAAGAAGCTGTTTTCATAAACGAGTTAGTGTTTTTGAGGTATCAGTTTGATCCATCACTTTTTGCCACTCTTATTTTAAACTGACTGGCTAATTAAAAATTAATATTAACATGCGTATTGAGGGAGTTTGCCTGTTCTCCCCGTGTCTGCGTGGGTTTCCTCCGGGTACTCCGGTTTCCTCCCACAGTCCAAAAACATGCAGCCAGGCCAATTGGACATGCTAAATTGCCCCTAGGTGTGAATGTGTGTGGATGTATATGTCTGTTTGTCTGCCCTGCGATGGGCTGGCGACCTGTCCAGGGTGTATCCTGCCTTCTGCCCGATGACAGCTGGGATAGGCTCCAGCACCCCACCGCGACCCGGAAGGATAAGCGGTTTAGATGATGGATGGATGGATGGATGCGTATTGAGACACTACTACAGTCAGGAGGTTTGGAGTAAGATTAGAAAGGGTCACTAACTGTTGTTTAATGTTTAGCTTGACTGTATTTCGCTTTAAATGATTGATTAGTTTCATGAGGTGCCTGGTTGGAATGAAAACCTGCAGCTACGCCGGCCCTTTACAGATAAGATTGGTGACCCCTGCCATATTGGTTTATCTATATTACCATGGTCACAGTCTGAGGTTGGTAATTCAGGTCCAGGACCGGAACTGCCCACCTCTGCTTACAGTATCATACATAAAATTAGCTATATGAACGACAACATCTGAGAGAATATGACATATTTTTAAACATCAAATAGAGTTCAGAGTGAAAAGAGTGAGCCCCACAGTAGAATTTTAAATTTCTCCTACCTGGTATGCATAGTGGGTGTCACTTCCTGCCTCCGGCCCCAGGCCCAGCTTTCCAGAGGCCAGTTGGCGGGCATGGCTGCGCAGGCAGGCGATGGTCAACGAACCGACTAAGAGGCCGCCCACACAGGCCACACCCACAAAGGTGAGGAACACCCACCGGGTGCCGTCCCGCACACGCGTCGCAACCGGCAAGGCTTCATTTTTCTGTAGAAAGAGAGAAAAGCAAAGACAAAACACTTACAAAACACAGAACTGAGGGTTCATGGGTGAACGTTCCTCCTAGAAAAGCCTCTAAACCAGGATTAGATGTAATGAATTCTATTCTGATTTTTGGCTTTTTTGTGGGAACAGTAACTAGTTTAAAACCGAACCTCGCAAATTATGGCTGCGGTAACGGACAGATATCCCTCCACCTCGTTTTCACTGGTGCAGTGAGTTGAGCCTATTCTCTCTGAAGAGACCACCCAGGCAAGTCTATTCTGTTAGAGCTTTTTAAAATGAAATGGAATTAGAGGAGAGGGAGAGAGCGGGAACAGGAGGTGTGGTGTGAGTGTGCGTCTGCGCACACGCACACACACACACACACACACACACACAGGATAGAATGAGTATCTCAAAAGGAGGTTGCACCTCCCACCCTGTTGTCTGGGTTACCATGCGTCTCAGTGGGGGCAGCAGTTGCCATGGTAACATCAGAATGCCTGATGTAAGCCCTTCGGCCATCAAAAGTGACAAAAAAGAGAGTTAAAAATGTGACGAATGAAAAGAGACAAGAGGGAGAGAGGGAGCGGACAGAGAAGCAATGCGGCCTGTTCTGCAGCGCAGCTCTACTGTTCCGCAGGCTGCAGTCCGGGCTAATCATTCAAAGATCTGAGAACCCTCCTGAGAACCATCCTGAGTCCTCAGTCCTGCACAAACACATACAGTACCGCTCGTTCCTTCTCTCTCTCTCTCTCTCTCTCTCTCTCTCTCTCTCTCTCTCTCTCTCTCTCTCTCTCTCACTTTCTCTCTGCTGGTATGATGCAGACCACACAGGAGCCGGGGCATTACATCATCGCATCTGGGCCAACTGCACTGACCTTGTCGCCACAGCAACCGCCTCACCTGACATCACTGTCTGTGAAGAGATTGCTGGGAGTTGAGTTGAGTGCACTGGGCCACAGGATTCCCTTCTGATCCCTTCTGGGGATTTCTGGTTACGTTTTATTTAATGGAATTTCATTAATGAACTGACGTCTTAATAAACCCCATCCTCTTCCTTTTTATTGCACAGCTGCAGTAGGACCACCCCAATTCATAAATGAATGAAATCAGTGATGGAATTACTAATAATTTCGCATTATTACGATGAAAGCTGTCATAAAATAAGTCAAGTTTGGGTTGCAATTTTAATTTCATTCGTTTTAAAGGCCCTCCAAAAAACACACAAACAAACAGCACTTAAATGCTGATTTTTTCAGCAGTTAAGTGCCAGGAAAACACCGGGAACCGTCAAACCCGCATACTGGTGACCGTTTTCGTTACACGTTACTACGGAACGTTTACAGAAGAGCACGTGCAAACGGACACAGCGATAGTAGCTACGTTTCTACAGCGTGACCCAAAGCTCGGGAGCCAAAAGGGGCTTCGATAATCCTCACCAGCTGGACCGCAGCAAAACGCGTTCACACGGCAAACAGGCCACTTACAGCATCGACCGTGTCGGCTTAACTCACCTCCACAACACACGCAGAGCCGCCGAGGTCCGGCCCGTCGAGCCCGTCGCCGTTCTGCCACGGATTTACGTGTTTTGGGGCGAAAACTTTTGACCAAGTCGAAGTTACGGAGGTGGAGGCGTATCAGCGAACAGTGACCGTTGCGGTGAGGGTGTGTGAGAGAGAGAGAGATAGAGAGAGAGAGCAGGGAGGCTGGAGAGACGCCTGCCTCGGGAGCGCGCACACGAATCCCGCGCGCGCCTGACAGTTTGACACTTATGAAGTGGTTGTCATGGCAACAGAGCGAACGGTGACGAGAGAGGCGGGCGGGGGGGGGAGGCGTGAATGGCTCTCGAGAGAAAAGCTCTCGTCGAAGCCTTTGAGTGACAGAAAACGAGAGAAAAATCCAGCGAGAAGCAGCGAAGCAAACCGGGCTTGTTTACCAGCTATTCAGACTCGGACTCGGACGGTATGTACCCCACTGCCTCCGTTTCCTCTGGAGGCAGTGGGGTACGTACGGATCGAGGACTAGCCTGTGCGGCTGAAACCTCCTCCACAGACTCGGACTCACCTCTCCGACTCCTGCCTGCAGCACGTTCAGGCCGGTCTCCGATTCTAGAAAGTTCTTCTCGGCCACTGCTCAGAAAACAGAAGCATGAAAAAACACCACAACAGCGTTACATCATGGGCAGAGGAGAATTAAAACAAGTCTTAGTTAATGACTCAAGCCCCTTATCAATATCAAGTGATTTATAGACCTGTGGTGGACCTTTTTTGATACATCCAGCATCTACGCATTAAAACCACCTCGTTTCTATGCTCATTGTCCATTTTATCAGCTCCACTGACCACATAGGTGCACTTTGCAGTTGTACACTTACAGACTGTAGTCCATTTGCTTCTCTGCTACTTTGTTAGCCCAGTTTCACCCTGTTTTCTAGAGGTCAGGACCCCCACAGTGTGGGTATTATTTGGGCGGTGGATCATTCTCAGCACTGCAGTGGATTAGACACAGTAGTGCTGCTGGGCTGTGCCACTCACTGTCCACTCTCTATCCTGTAGATGTAAATTGAGAGGCAGTAGCTCATCTTTTGCTGCATGGTTTGTGTTGGTCATCCTCCAGTCCTTCATCAGTGGTCACAGGACGCTGCCCACAGAACGCTGTTGGCTGGATGTTTTTGGTTGGTGGACTATTCTCAGGCCAGCAGTGACACTGAGGTGTTTTAAAACTCCAGCAGCACTGCTGTGTCTGATCCACTCAGACCGGCACAACACACACTAACACACCAGTGTTACTGCAGTGCTGAGAATGATCCACCACCCAAATAGTACCTGCTCTGTGAGGGTCCATGGGGGTCCTGACCACTGAAGAACAGGGTAAAAGGGGGCTAACAAAGTACACAGAGAAACAGATGGACTACAGTCTGTAATTGTAGAACTACAAAGTGCTCCTATATAGTAAGTGGAGCTGGACACTGAGTGTAGAAACAAGGAGGTAGTTTTAATGAAGTGGCCAGTCTGGGTATATACACAAGTACTTAAGTTTTATAGCTGTTCTTTTTTTGGTATGCTTTCGGTAAGCTCTCTGGTCTATGGTAAAATGATGAAGTCCAGATGGTGTCACCAACTAAACTGAATGAAGTCAACTTAAAAAAAAACTGACACTTTTGAACTTCTTGTTCCATTTCACTGGTTATATTATACACAGTTTATCACATGACATCATTTAAAAGACAAAAATTGTGTTTTTTCTACAAACTTACATTCAAATTTAATGACTTTTGCCAGCCTCAAACGCGTTTTCTGTTTTTTGATTAAGTCACCATGCACCAGCGTGCGGGGCAAATAATGCTAATGATATATCATGTTTCACCTCCTCCTTCTTCCAGTCCCTCCTATCATCAAGCAGAAAACACTCAGCTAGCTCTGAAACATTACCTGATACTGTGTTTCACTCAAAAAACAAAAAACAGTATGGAAGGGAAATTATTTTCTGATTTATGTTGACTTTAAACACAAAAATAACCCATAATTACAAAAAAGTAGTAGTATTTATCAAGTCTTTTATGAATTATTAGGTCTAATGTAGATTTTGCTGTTTGGGAACAGAGAATTGCTACATCATTGTACAAGTCTGCCCCCCCCAACACACACACACACACACACACACACACACACACACACACACACTTACCAGCCTTGTCTGCCACTTCAGCAGCAGTCAGGTTCTGGCTGTTCGGGCGAACTCGGAACGTGAGAGCCGGACCTACCACGCTGTGAACAGAAGTTAAGGTCACACAGCCAAATAAACACAGGCTGTGAAGCATGAAGGGACGTTAGGGAAGAGGTTAGCTGCAGGGTTGGGGGGGTCAGGGGGTCAGGGCACCCCAGAGCTGAGGTTGACTCATGTCATTTATTCCTTCTCCCCCCCATGGTTCTCCACCATGCGGGGGACCCCGGGTTAGGGCTCCACCTCACCACAGCTTGAGCTTGGGATACAAAAAGGGTCCGAGGGTCATCGTTAGAAGGATTATGCTGAGTCATGCAGTAAAGGAAATATGGGGCTAAACCTGGAACTTTCTCGTGATCACTGTTTCAAATCTAACCCTGCGGTTTTTGTTAGGCTACATACGAAGCTTTTATATGGTGCATTTACATACAGCAGAGTATGGCCATTTCAGTTCCACTCACTCCCAGGAGAATTGTGGAGTGTCATCGGGGAGAAACAGGTGAAAAAGAGTGAGAAAAAGTTGAGATTTTGAATCTTGCTGGTCAGTGTTTAAGTATGACGTGCTGTGTTGCGTCATGAGTCATGTCTGTATTGAAACTACATGCTGAATGTGTTGTTGAGACGATGGAGGAAAAGGGAGTGGGAGATTTTTACATTGGTTGCTATTTTTAAAACAGTATTTGGCCTTTTCTCACCTGTGTTTCATCGGAGTACAGAACTAGTCTAGAACATTGTTATACACCCTCAAAGAGTAACTACACCCCACTATTTTCAGCCAACTCCAGCCCTGGCTCAACGAAAATGCTCAACGAAAAATGCTCAAAGGAGGGGCACTACAGTGATGTACGGGTTTGGAGGTGGGGCTGCGAGGGAAACTGGGTGGGCTGGGCTGCTGTGTTGTTATAGCTAACTTTATCTACCAGAAAATATGGAGAGTGACAGAATCAAATGGCACTTTTGCAACTGAGAGTCCTACAAGGTTGATGATTTTCCTCTACTACCATCCCCATCTTCGACGAGGGAAGGTGTTTCTGATCAGGCAGTGCGTCTTGAGCCTTAACAGTATGAGTCACTGGCTCAAACTACCGAAGAGTTAAGATAGTGACAGAAAATGATTAAGAGTTAGTGGCAGTGGCGTCCGAACGGTAGAACATTCCCTAAACCGTGACAGCTCGCTTCTAATTATCTGTTCGATATAACCCAAGGTCTGATTCCTTAGATGCACTGAATGTCGAATGAATAAAGTGTATTTCTTTGAACTCTGTCCAAGTTTCATTCAGTTTTACATCAAGGTCACAGACTGCATCACCGGTCAGCCAGGGTTTGCTGCAGTGGCCTTAAATCCTTACGTTATGTTCTGCAAGCTGTTCATGGCACTTATCGGTGTTACATCCAATTTAGTTCCCACTCAAATTCACGTTCCCCTTCATAAACCAAACCCTCGGGAGCACTCACTGAACAGTAATCAATGGCAAGCAGCACTGGAACTGCGGAAAGCGGGAAAAAAGCTTGAGAAAGGCTGCACCGATGACAGGTTGACACAGTCAGTAACAATGGCCATTTACCGTTAACCTTTCCTGAACCATTTCGCCTTCTGTAGTTCCAGTGTTGCTTGCTATTGATGTCTGTTCAGTGAGTCGCGCCTGAGGGTCCGAGTTGTGAAGGGCAATGTGAATTGGATGCAACGCTGGCAGCTTTATAGAGACTCACAAGAATCCTCACTTAATCAGTCCAACATCTTTATTGCAAACTAAGCTCAGATTAACTGGGTTATTTACAGTTGGTACAGCTGGCAGATCGCAGCCTTGTGAGGTGGTGCTGGGGGTATTTAGCCCAGCGCATGAGGGTGGTTATCTCCTCGCTCCAGGGTCCTATGCTTTCATATTTATGAGCGCAGCATGAGTAGGGCGTCATCAGGGGGCGGTAACATTGTTTGACTGATTTGCACACTGTGACGTGTCATCGTACTTTGGTATGAAAATACGTCATCCACGCCTATAGCAGGGTTGAACCAGAGGGGGCGCTGCTGAGGCGGAACTGACCATGATAAAAATGATATTTTTTACAGTTTGGAAAGATGTGTTCACATTTTAAGCAAGGCTGGTATATTTTATTATTACAGAGCAGAGTATTTCAGCTGTTAATGACAAAAAAGGTCTTAGGGTGGAGTTACTCTTTAAAGCAGCCAACAGTGGGCAAGGTAAGCAATACTAGTATGCTGTAATGCAAATGCAGTGTTATGCTTATGGTTTACTTAATTTATAAAGGACTCTTTCAGAGTTTTTTCAACTTGATCTCTTTCTGCCGCTTCAGTATTGTACCATCGATAACCACAGATAATAATTTTGATGTAAAAAGAAAAAGCATTGACTTGAAACCTCTTATTATCTAATATAAGCTACTGGGCAGACGCTGAATAACAAGAATATACATAACATTTCAAACATAGTAAATATTCAATACTACACTCCAATCCAGGTCTTCATAACGTTATACCAAAGGTGTGAAATCATTTTGGAAAAAAAAAAAAAAACAATTTTGGTTGCATTTACTTTCCCTAAGCTTTTCTGGAATCCATGTGTGACAAAGCAGGAAGCTGTGAAAACTCTCCCCACTGCTATGCTGGTAACACATTACCACAACAGTTTTCCTTCTGCAAAACTATCACATCTCTGAAATGAGATTTACAGCTTGACATACAGATACTGATAATTTGTGAAAGTGTTCTACAACAAGGACACAGTGTCACTGAGGAGAGGCACTGCTTTAAGGAAGCATCGAGTGCTATTTGACCGATAATGGCACCCACTTATGGAGAACTTTTAGCCTGCTAAATCGGGATGCACCGATATAGGAATTTTGGGCTGAAGCGGGTATCGGATATTTTTATGTACATATCAGTTGATGCCTGTAGGGATTTCTGTAGGATTACAAACACTGTTAAAATAAATAGAAATTTTAATGTATTTTTGTGTAGTCGCGAGGCATCATCTAAACGTTATGCTCTTCCAGAACCTCAAAAATAAATGATCAAACATTGATTTGAAATATCAATCAAATCTAAACATCCGTCTGATCATTTTTTAAGCAATTATCTGCCAATACCGCTATGATTCCGATATCATTGTGTAACCCTACTGCTAAATATATGTGAGCAAGTGTTACAAACAATTCCATGAGGCATTTTTCTTCTATTTTATTTTTTCCTTGAGATCTACTTATGATGTTTATGTTACATACCAAAAACAGTAATAATTCCTTTTATATGGCCATTTCCCAACCTGTCTTCATTCCTTAGAATTAAACAGGCTGTTTTTTACTGGGACTTTAAGACTGATGTATGTGAACATCCTCAGTGCTGATTGGTGGTCTTTTTTGTGCCTCGTTCAAAAAGCAATTTGTGCTTAACACTCCTTCATTGTGAATGAGTGGGGCTAAACTGCTGTAAGCTGAATTGGTAGATGTATGTAAACGCACTGGTTTTCATGATATCATGAAAACAGTAAACTCCAAATGTTTTTACAGCTTAATTTCCATACGGACTGTATAATGTTTACATATGGCATTAAACTCCTTTATTTAAAAAAGCGAGGAAAAATTAGTTTTCCCTGAACTGAGTCTTTTAATGTTCCCTTTCAATGTACAGGGTGATTCAAAAAGATTCATCTGATTTCAAAGCGCCATGTTTTTACAACCGTGAAGCGCCTAGGAACCAATCACATACCAATTGAAAGAGGGGGTCATAGAGTTTCTGACCGTCAGTGGAAGATGGCTCCCTTCAGTCTGAGAGGAGATGAGACCCCTGAGCAGAAAGCGTTCTGCGTTCTCCACTTCAATAAGAGAGAATCCATCATAACTGTGCAGCGTGATTTTCGTGGACAGTGAACCTCCAACAGCTCAGATCGTTCGGCATTGGTTCCACAACACTGGATGATCTCCGAAATCACACTGAAAGAGCCGTGAGTGCAGCGACACCCGACATGCTCAATCCAGTATGGGATGAATTTGGCTATGGTGTTGATGTTGTCCGTACAGCTGGAGGAGGTTCATACTGAGCACTTGTACAATTACATAATAAACTTTATGCTCATTTAAACATTTACAGTTCACTGCATTGATCTGTAACGATTTACAAGTGAAATAAATCATTTTGAAATCGGATGAAAATATTTTTTGGACTCCAGAAAAATCACGCAGAAGCATAGTAATAAAAATTGCACTGGGTTTTTTAAGCTCTATTGAGCTGACCTATAGTTTGTTATAAAGAGGGCTGAAGTGGGCTCAACCTGACTGTGTGTGATTGGAGGCTCATTCTGCAGGAGGTTTACTGATGGAAATCAGCTGTTGCCCAGTGGCTTCTCCTTCCACAGGAGTCCACAGGTTTTCTGTTCTTTTCTAACTACAGAGAAACATTCCAGTTCTGTGGTAATCGACTATACAAATGCAGCAGATGGATATGAGGTCTAAAAAAGCTGAAGTGGTCATTTAAGCACAGTTTCTGGGCCTGAATGGAATCTACCAGCGTGCAGCCTGGAACGTTCCTGAAGCAGCACCTGGAATTCTTTGTCTCTGAGCCTACCTGATATTGAGGAATGTGCCGGTGGTGAGGTGGATCCTCTCAGCCAGGGTCTCCAGCAGACGAACCCCATCGGACAGAGAGAGGGGACTGCAGAAAGACATACTCTTTCACACACCACACACACACACAGACGGATACCACTAACAGACTACACAAAATACACACAACAGCCACCCACACAGACAGGCAGTCCACCTCGCTGTCTAACAGCTAATGTGTAGTGCTCTGATGCATGGAACAATCCAGATTCAAGAACAAACAGCCAATGAAGACAAAACATCCAGTGTGTTTCTCTAAAACAGACATAAACAGACTCACGGACGTCACAGATGAGCATTCAGTTCAACACCAGTGTGGCAATGGTTGTACCTCTGGTTCGTAATGATGTATCCATACTCCTCTTTATATTTGGTTTGATTCTTTACTGGTGTTGCATTGGGGACTCCTTTCCACACCTTTTCCTCTCCCTTCCACCCCTTCTCCTGTTTCAAGGGGGCTGGAGGGCCCAGCACACTGGCCCCTTCTGTAATGTCGTTATTCTGCAAGGTGCCCTCAGGAACCGAAGCAGAGGAGGAAGAGGCGGCTGGGGTTGGAGGTTTTTCCACTATATGTGTCATCTTCCCCTCGGTGATTTTCATCTATTAAAGAGCAACATAGGATAAATCTGCTCAGTTACACTGTTGGTTTGTTACTGAAATGCTCTTGTGGTCAGCCATTTCCTGCAGTCAGTGCATACACTGCCCTCTGCTGGCTATGCCATACAGTAGCAATAACCTCAGCCACAGGAGCATCAGTAACAAATTGCTAACACTGATCTGCCGTAATTCTCGTATGATGAGCTTACCAGCTTTTGTGGGGCAGCTGAATCAGTACGATCTATGAGAAAAAAAAGATCAAAATGTTACTATCCTATCAATATACACCGGTCAGGCATAACGTTATGACCACCTCCTTGTTTCTGCGCTCTTTGTCCATTTTATCAGCTCCACTTACTATATAGGAGCACTTTGTAGTTCTACAGTTACAGACTGTAGTCCATCTGTTTCTCTGCATACTTTGTTAGCCCCCTTTTACCCTGTTCTTCAGTGGTCAGGACCCCCATGGACCCTCACAGAGCAGGTACTATTTGGGTGGTGGATCATTCTCAGTACTGCAGTAAAACTGACGTGGTGGTGGTGTGTTAAGTGTGTGTTGTGCTGGTCTGAGTGGATCAGACACAGCAGTGCTGCTGGAGTTTTTAAACACCTCAGTGTCACTGCTGGACTGAGAATAGTCCACCAACCAAAAACATCCAGCCAACAGCGTCCTGTGACCACTGATGAAGGACTAGAGGATGACCAACACAAACTGTGCAGCAACAGATGAGCTATCGTCTCTGACTTTACATCTACAAGGTGGACTGACAAGGTAGGAGTGTCTAATAGAGTGGACAGTGAGTGGAAACAGTGTTTAAAAACTCCAGCAGCACTGCTGTGTCTGATCCACTCAGACCAGCGCAACACCCACTAACGCACCACCACCAAGTCAGTGTTACTGCAGTGCTGAGAATGATCCACCACCCAAATAGTACCTGCTCTGTGAGGGTCCATGGGGGTCCTAGCCACTGAAGAACAGGGTACAAGGGGGCTAATAAAGTATGCAGAGAAACAGATGGACTACAGTCTGTAACTGTAGAACTACAAAGTGCACCTATATAGTAAGTGGAGCTGATAAAATGGACAATGAGCGAGGAAACATGGAGCTGGTCATAATGTTATTCCTGATCGGTGTACACTCTAAATCAAGAGCATGACCCATATTTTTTGGACTCCAGAAAAAAACACACAGAAGCATGGTAATAAAAATTGAACTGGGTTTGTTGAGCTATATTGAGCGAATCTATAGTTCGCTATGAGGAGCTGAAGTGGGCTCACCCTGATTGTGTGTGATTGGAGGCTCATTCTGCAGGAGGCCCAGCACGGTGAAGAGGCGCTCCATCTCTCCAGGGTTCAGCTGAGCCAGGTCGAAGCCATGCTGCAGTAATAACTCATTCAGACTCTGCTGAGTGGAGTCTGCACACACAAGTCAACGATTCAGACGATACTAGAAAATGTTTAACAGAGGCCTGCAAATGCACACACATACAGATTAAATTCAAGCTTCAAGATGGCGGCCGCTACTGTTTTTATCTATGCACCATGCTTTTGTGTTGATTTTTATAGATTACAGTACATCATACAGTGTCAGCGGTTACAAACACATCTATTTGAGCTTCTTTTGTACAGCGATAATTGGTTGGGTACACTGTAAAACCTAATGAGTTAAGTAAACTCAAATGATTTGAGGAAACTAATTACCTCAAATGTTTTAAGCTCAATAACTCATTTACACTTAAGTAAATTGAGTAAATTGTATTAACGCCATTTGTTTTATTGATATTAAAATGACTAAGTATTTGGGACTTAGGTTTAAGCTGTCCTAACTCAAAATAATGTAATAATTGTAAATTAAATTCACAATTAGCCTACAGTTTTGACAAATTCATATTGTATTGCAGAGATATGATCATCACCACCTCGCCAAACGCTGACAGTACGGTCCGAAGCACAGATGTAGTCTTTGTGAAATTCAGCCACAGCAGAACCACATTCAGCAGAGAAGTACTTAGCAACTCAGCTTTCTCAACACTGATTATTGATCAATATTAATGGGCATGAATCATAAAAGTTTATCAATCTAGTCAACACAAGGGAAGGTGGGCTGGGGAGAATGACAACACACAGACGGTGAGGAGACACGCCCAGTATGTAAATATATGGTACTAGGAGCCAATAGGAATGATGTGAGTTTTACTCAAGAAGGCAGTATTGACCAAACGTCAATCAAGTAAAGCTGAGAGTCTAAACTAAATTGCAAGCTTATTCAACTCAAAGATCCTATTTGATGAGATCTTTGAGTCTGTAATCATCAAAATATAATTATGAAAAAAAAGTCCAAATCTTTTAAATGTAAACATTTATGCCGTCTATCACATTAAGCCACACTAAATAATTGTCTTTAAAAACAGCCCATCATGTAAAGTCACGTTAAATAAAAATAGTGAATCTAATCCATTTAAATAAAGTAATCTTAACTCAAAATATTCTGAAAAAAACAATCTTACTCAAAATGATTACAATCTTACTCTCTCAACAATTCGTTTTTATGTTAATCTGAATTTTTCAGATTAAGTTACTCCAACTTTCTGTAGTATTTAAGTTGTGTTAATTTAATTCTTTCATTAAGATGTGCAGTGAGTTTTACAGTGTATAAGCTTCCATTATTTGTTAGCTACATTAGCCTTGTAGCTCCGGTGCAAAACAAGGGAAGCAAACTTCAGACAAACAAACAGGCTTTAGCTGAATGAATTTAGGGTAGTTCCCTAGAAATGGATGGGGGCAGTGTGTACAAAAAGCCTGTACTTGCTATATAACTGTACTATATATTGTGTCCAGTGGGGCACGTAAACTTTTATAATACTTCTCTTGAATTTATTTAGAGAGAACCTCTACAAATGAGACCTATAGATGCAGCGAAAGAAAAAACAGTGTCTCAGTATGGTGTTGGGCCACCATGGGCTGTCAGAACAGCTTCAAAGTTCTGGAACTGTGCTTGAGGGATGAAACACCATTCTTCCATAAGATATTCCCTCAATTGATGTTGTAATGATGGACATGGAGAGCACTGTCCAACACAATGGTCCAAAAGGTCCCATATGTGTTTAGTTGGGTTGGGATCTGGCCATAGCACATAATTTACATCATTTCCATACTCATGAAACAATTCAGTGACCCCTTATGCCCTGTGGATGTCATCCTAGAGGAGACCACTCCCATAGAAATGTTTCAACATAGGGTAAAGATGATCAGTCAGAATAACTTTGTATTGATTCGCAGTGAACCCTCCCTCTAAGGGGACAAGTGGACCCAAACCATGGCAGCAAACTGTCCCCGACAGCATAGCAGAGCCACTGGATCCCCTCACTTTTGGGGGGCAAGCTTTTGGGCCTGTAGGTCTGTACCATTCTCTTGGTGCCACACATGCACTCATTAATTTTTGGAGAATTTAGTGAAGGATGATTCATCTGACCATATCACTTTCGTCTATATCTCTGCAGACCAGTCCTTATGGTTTGCGTATCAATGAACTCCCATAATTGTTTCATGCAGTATATGCAGTCTGGCAGTATCTGCACTTGTTATGTTTCTCCACTGATTTATTCAGGTTTCTCCTTTAATTATATTTCAGTGGACTTGTTAAGTTAGTTAAGTGACCCTTATTAATCCCACAACGGGGAAATTTCACCTCCACATTTAACCCATCTGTGCACCCACATGCACACTAGTGAACACACGCACTAGGGGGCAGTGAGCACACTTGCTCGAAGTGGTGGGCAGCCCTATCCACAGTGCCCAGGGAGCAGTTGGGGGTTAGGTGCCTGGCTCAAGAGCACTTCAGTCATGTCCTGTTGGCTCAGGGGGTCGAACCAGCGACCGTCCAGTCACAAGGCTGACATGTAAAGCAATAGAATAACAACAACCAGTGTATAGTAACTGCATAAACTGCAAATTGCTGTAACTGACTGGATATCATCTACTTTTAAATCCAAATATATATAAAATCAACAAGCCCTCTGTGAGTTGAGGTGTTAAAGCAGAAAAAACACTGGAGCATGAAGGGAACTCTGAGAGTTCTCTAGAACCAAGGCTGGTAAACTCTGGTACAAACCCACTTCCCAACACTACCACACTCAATTCACACTTACCATCAAACCTTCCAAACTCCTTAGGGGTTTTCTTCTTCTCTTGCTGGCTGCTGACCTCCACATCCTGGGAAACGTAGTCCTTGCTGTAGTCCAGTGGAAAATCCAGACCCTGGAAGAAAGATGAAGAGGACAGAGGTGTGGCCACCCTGTGGCGGGAGTCGGGTTGTGCAGGTGAAGAGAGGAGGAGAGACATCAGATCCTGAAGCAGCTGTGTGTCTTTATCCAGCGGGTGAGGACGTGATGCAGACCCCCTGGAGTGAGAAGAGGATGGGGGGTACACGTCCCCCTCCACCAGGTTCAGAGAGCGTTCCTCTTCGTCCTGGTAACCGTACTGCACGGCAGGAGGATACAAAGAGTTGTGATGAACCCCTTGAACTTCAGACTTATTCCGTTTTTAATCTTAAGACTTATTATTCAGTAACTACGAGGGACGGGTAGTGACTAATTATGTTTACTCATTTACATGTATGCAAGTAAACTTTGTGTGTTCAAATGATAATACGTTTACTTCTGCTCAGACGTACTTTAGAGCAAATTTAGGACAATTATCTACTTTTTACTCAGTTCTAATTCCTGATTCTATTTTTTAATTTCATTCTGTTCCGTTGGTTTAGCAACTGTTGATTCAGCAAGTGCTTTTCTGTGGCTCACACCTCTCACTTTCAAGCTTTTAGCATTTTAGCATTTTATTTCACACCAAGATGATCCCAAAAAATAAGATCACATAACAAACTTCAGTGCTTATGCTGCTATATGCTGGATGTACTAAGAAATTCCACTGCAATTTTAAAGAGAGTTCAGAACCATTGGCCAGCTGTGCTTGCACACAGAGGAATTAGACCTCCGCAGTGAAGCACCCACATACACACACACACTAGGGGGCAGTAAGCACACTTGCTCAGAGCAGTAGGCAGCCCTATCCACGGCGCCTGGGGAGCAGTTGGGGGTTAGGTGCCTTGCTCAAGGGCACTTTAGTCGTGTACTGTTGGCTCAGGGGATCGAGCCGGCGACCTTCCGGCCACAAGACTCGTTCCCTAACCTCCAACCCACGACTGCCCCGATTTTATAGGGATCTCAGCATCTCAGGAGTGATTTTTTTTAAGTAATTAAGTAGTAACACTTTTACGAGTGTGGTTGCAGGCTACTCTACACGCCGCTAGTAACTACTACTAATTGTTTAGTAACTACTATGACACTAATATTTATGTTATGTAGTTATGAAAAATTGAAATGTGGGCCCACATAAGACCCTTAGAGTTAATGAAAACAGTACAGAACGCTGACCTTTTGAAAAGTAGGTCTATAAGGTTCCAGGCTTTGCATGCGGAGGGTGGACTGGGGAGAATCAACAATCATGTAGTCCATGTAGTGCTGCAGTTTGGGGTTCAGCTGGTCTGTTGCCCCTCCATCTGACCTAGAGAGGATTGAGAGGATATTTTAAAATTTTAGAAATACATTACAAATAAAAATACAACACAAAATCCTGCTACTCCACAAAAATGATCTTGCTAAATTTCAAAAAGAGGGCAGGACAAATGCGTTGTATATTATACATAAGTAGGTAGTGCCAATCTTTAGTACGCTCTTGTGCCACCCTTTAATCTAAAATCCTAGGCATGCCACTAAATTTGCTATGCTTTTGGGGCATTGCTGAATACCACTTTACATATGAAGGCTGTCCAGGTGTCCGGCCTTGCTTATTCCTTTTATCCCGTTTATCATCCTGGCACAGGCCCTTTTGTTTAACTGTGCATTTTTGAAATAAAAAAACAAACTTTGAGTCATAAAAAAGCATCCAAAACACTACGATTACAACAGAACATCAGCAGTGGCTGTGGCTGTGGCACTTTTTAGTCAGTAGTTTGCGTTTTAATGTTAGAATGCTGATTTCCACATTTCTGTTTAAATGTCTTACTCAGAGGAGGGAGCGTTCTTGAGACCAGATGGCAGCGGGATCTTCGCAACTTTGCTTAGTTCCTTGTCGATGACTGATTGGGTAACATCATCCTGCCAGGTCAGTCCTACAGAAAAAAATTGGAGAAAAGACCACAGGCGAAAATGCTTCTTTTTTGCATCTCATTTAATACACCATTTTCATTACAAATGATATTATCAGCATAGAAAATTGAGGGAAAAGTAAAATCTTTGATTGTTTACATTAATAATGAATTTCTGAACTTCTCAGTATTTGGGAGGTCCCTGTTTTGCTCTAATGACAGTGTGCACTGGTTTGGGCTCCATAAGTTTGTGCAAAAGCCCGATCAGTAGATAAAGTCTGAGATTCTTTTTGTTCGAAGGCCTTAATGTGGTTAATTTTACAAATGGGTCATTCTACAGAAACGTCCACTTTTTTATCTACCCATAGGAGTCACTGGTGTTACTGATCGTCATCGGTGTTACACATAATAAAGGAAACACCCAAGACATTTTTAATGAAAAGTGCATTTTACTAAATGGCTGCTACAGAGCATCAAACCATATGTTGTCAATCAGGGAATATCCACTAAAATATGCAATTTAATCGATTTATATTCTTTTTTTTCACAATTACCTCAGAATAAAGTGGGTCACACCAGTGACTTCAGCTAAAAGCTTCATATGAAATCATGAGCTAAATGAGAAAAACTCTGATTACTGAAAGACACAGTGGACTCACCATGTGCTTTTCTTCATAGATCCTCAGAAAACAGGTAAAAGGAAGTCAAGTGATGTCATCAGTGTGATTTTTATTTCAAAATAGAGATATTTTGTTACGCAGTAACACCAGTGACACGACTCCTGGGGACAACAACTTTCATTGTATATTTTATAATATTTATTTGCCATTTGTTTTCTTTATGTCATTTAATTCATATATTTCATAGTCATGTATAGATTATTGTAGTTAAAATTGCAGAAAAACATGTTTTTTTACCTCAAAATATGGCCTCAGCCTTCACACATGACTGTGAGGACGAGCTCTTCTGTGGTGCTTGGAATTTTAGATAATTGATTTAAGAACCAATATTGCTAAATTGAGGCTCAAGAAGGGGTAATTGTTAAAATAACACACACACACACACACACCATCTAAACCGCTTATCCTTCTGGGTCACAGTGGGGTGCTGGAGCCTATCCCAACTGTCATCGGGCGGAAGACAGGATACACCCTGGATGGGTCGCCAGTCTATCGCAGGGCAGACAGACAGACAGACATACACATTCACACACACACTCACACCTAGGGGAAATTTAGCATTGGCCTGACTGTATGTCTTTGGACTGTGGGAGGAAACCAGAGTACCCGGAGGAACTCCACGCAGACACGGTTCATTTCTGTTATTTATTTCCAGATTTAAATGAAAAAATACCAGATTTGGTACTTTGATATATTGTTATCAATATGGTCTCAGACTTTTGGACTGTATGTCAGTCAACAGAGGACACCTAGTCTATAAGGCTGGGTATCATCCAAGTTTTGATGCTAATACCAAAATCTTGACTTTGATACAAATTCCCAAACGATGCTTTTATCCTGATAATTTCTTTTAAATTACAAACGGAAAGTGGGTGTGGCTTAAAGCAGAAAAGAATGTGAGTTGCAAGAAGTAGTGTATTTACTGGCCCATAGTGAAATACATACCTATCAAAAAGCTTAAATAACTTGTACACTGAATGTAGTTTAGACAGCTAATTGACAATATCGACAAGCATGCTTATTGGCTTACAGGTGCTAATAAGACTGATTGCTTAGGTGCTGCATGACTGGAATTTTTGATACTCAGCAATATGAAAGTAATTTGGCCGCTACCATAAAAATATTGAATACTCAGCCCTACTTGTGCAGAGGCATTGCCTTTGAAGTATCGCATGGCCTGATGGGGTTTATATTGAACTGTTTCTATGGCAACAAATACAAAGACTCAAGGCAAAGGAGCCTCTGCGGTAAGTCAACACTAAAGGGTGCTATTAACTGAGGCAAGAATAAATAATCATGATTAAAGTGTGTACATGACTGACCTTCCTTCATGAGCATCTGTAGTAAAGACTGCAGCCTGTCCAACAAGGCTGCAGTTACCCTGTAGCGAAATCTGCCTTCCTGCTGCGCAAGGCACTGTCCGAACAGCTCATCTGGAACGCACAGAAACAGCATGAAAGGGCACACAAATAAATGCAGCGTCCACTCACTGGTCACTTTGTTAGATAGAAACACCTGCCATATAGCTCCACTCACCTCGTCATCCTCTAGACCCCATGGGTCAAACAGATATCAGGCCCGTAGCATAATCCTACCTGGCCTGTGAAATTATTTTCATTTTCTTTAATATTAGCCAGTTTCACAACGTGCCACACTACAATCCCCAGCATGCACTGCAGCATAATGTGTGTAATGTAATCTAGCCTATTGTAACATTCATATTGTTGTGTACTGCAGCCTATTCATTCATTTATTTATTTATTTAATTAATTTTTGAATATTTCAAGTATTCATTATGTAATATTTCAAGCTTCACTACAACTGCTTTTATTTTGATGTTGGTGTTTTGGCATATGTTGAATAAACAATGACCAGCTCAGGTTATAGCAAAATCTTATTTAACAATCAAATAAGAACACAGCCGTTCTCTGGCCCACAGATTTGTAGAGGTTTTTTAATATGGCTCTTTTAGGGGTTGGGTCTTACAACCCTGCTCTAGACCTTCACCAATGGTCAGTTTCTGACCACAGAACTGCTCTTGGCTGAATCATTTTTGGGTGGTGGGCCGCTTAATTACTGGCAGCTGCTCTTTACAGGGTGTGAACACTTCTTGATGAGCGGAATCATTTTGTTACATTCATTTAATGAACATTACAGCAAGTAAAATATTTTCCTTCTGCTGTGAAGTTGACAGCATGACAACATATGCCCTACAGTCTGTTATGGTACACGGACAGCAGGGGTGTCCAAAGTCTGGCCTCAGGGCCAAATGCAGCCGGCAGACAGATTCTAATTGTCCCATGGCCTCTGTTATAGATGTGTTAAAAGTGACCCAAAAACCAGTATGTTTCAGTTTTCCCTTTAACCTGATGGTGGCAGCAGCACCATAAAATCACAGTGTAGTACTGTAATTGGAAACACTGTGGTAACGAAGTTAGCTGAAGTTTAAGAGCCTTTCATCTCTGATGTGACCTGCAGTTTCATTTACTGAATGACATTTAGTCAAGACTAAAAAAGCTCAGACTTAACACTGAGAAAAGGGCAATTTTGGCAAGATTTTTTTTATCGAGAGCCACAAATGCAAGTGACTCATGTTTCAGAAGACTAATATGAATTTTATATAAATAAATATGAAACAAAGAAAAGACATTACAATAAATATTCAGGAGACCAACTACAACAGCTGCAGCTCCCCGAGTCTCACAGCACCAACGTCTCATCAGAGCAAATTCAGCACATAAAGTGATTTCTGAACGTGGCTGCTACACTTATTTGACATGTAAAGAACATTATCTAACAAAACCCATAATATGTAGATTTTGGTTTTGTTTATCTCACAAATTATATTTTTAAAAAAGGAGACACATGAATAGGAATGTACGTACATACATTAGACAGGGTTTATTGTCACTCTTAAACGATTTAATGATTTGTTACAAGCAGATCCAAATTGCCTCTAAAAAGAAGCCTCAAGCATCTTTTATACAGTGACCGGAAACACAGTCGCTCACAGAACTCTCCGATTCTATATGCTGATATTCTGAAAATATTGATATTTTTTAAAAAAAAATATTTTGAATCATTTGTGAAAAATATTTTGGCCCTCAGTGATTTTGACCATGGTACAATCTGGCCCTCTTTGAAAAAGTTTGGACACCCCTGGCCTACAGTACTGTGCAAAAAAATCACAGACCAGTATTCCTCTATTCAATTTCCAGTCAAAAACTTAGAGATTATATATAAATTAATCTGAGTCAAATGAAAGTACATGAGAAAATAGGTGTTTCCAAAGCTGACGTTCAAAAAATAATGAATTAATTATCAAGATATAGAGAAAATATGACTCCTACGAAGTATGCAAGACCTGGTAGATCAGCAAAACTGCCCCCATCAGATAAACAGTACTAAAGCTTTCATCTTTGACAGGTATGAGAAAAACAAGCTTCAGATCTGAAAAGGTCCACAAGCGTTTCTGTCCATCCTCCCACTGTGAGAAGACTTCAACATGATTGAATGTGTTTGGGGTTACTTGGATGGTGAGAAGCAGAAAATGCAACCAACTTAGACTGAACTTTGAACTTTTGAAACCCCTGCAGATTTTAGAAAAACTGAAAGCAGTTCTTTTAAAAAGAATGGAAACTGCAACAAAGGCAAAAGGTGGACACACTAAATATTGATACACACACTATCTAAGCCACTTATTCTCCTGGGTCGCAGGGGGTGCTGAAGCCTATCCCAGCAGTCTTTGGGTGGAAGGCAGGAAAAACCCTAGACAGGCTGCCAGTCTATCACAGGGCAGATAAACAAGCATATATTTTCAATCCTAGGGGCAATTTAGCCTGACTGCATGTCTTTGTGTGTGTGTGTGTGTGTATATATATATATATATATATATATATATATATATGTTATGCTTTCAGATGCAAATACTCCTTTTGTGCTAAGGTGACTGTTCACGTCTTTATGAGTCATTCTTACTCTTTCCTTGTACCTTGTCCTTTCCTTCCCTCCCTCACCTCTTTCCCTTTACACAGAACTATGAAAGCGAGACGTTATGGTTGCCTCAGTGATGTCATGGTTGCCATAGAGATGGTGTAAGATCCTTGTCATTGGATAAGAGCAGGTGATGGTTAAAGGCTGTGTTTACATAGGCAGTGTTTACAGAGGCATTTCTAAAAAAAAAAAAAACTACTGCACAAAAAAGAGCGCAAAATCATTCAGTGTATGTGAGTGGCTACTCCAAGGCCGTTAGTCCAAAGAAGAAAACATACATGCTAATGAAAGAGAAGACAGACCACAAGAGTAGGACAGCATATCATATAGACACATAATTCCATTAAAGTTGGGACAGTAGGTGAAACAGAGAGCATTGATTTTAAACACCTGAACTCACTAATTAGGAGGGATTTCCAAATTCTTTTGGCCAGGTAGTGTACTTTGGATTTTGAAACAGTATTGATATCATTTAATCATTTAATCATTTAATTATTAATATTTTAATGTGTTTTAAGCCCACTGTTTGACTACCAATAATATATTACCAATACACACTTCTGTTTTAATCCATGAGATGGAGTTTGTACTGGGAACGGTCTGATAGGGTAGAGGATAACACGCTCACTCTGCATACAGAAGAAGGGGGTTCTATCCCACCATTCAAACAGGAACAAGAAACTTCTTATATCAATAACAGTACATCACTGGAATATCGCTGTTGGGTTCATTTTTGACGTTTTTTTCAGTTTTTGACAGTTTGAAAATGTCTGTTGCCCTTTACATTGTGTGTAAATTTCACGAAGAACGGACCAAAACAAAACAACCCAAAATAATTTGGAAAAAAATTCTGGTTCCATTGACTTACATTAAAAGTATAGTATTTTTTTTCCTTCTACTGTAAAGTTACCATTTTGGAGATACCAATAAGAGGCACTGGGCGAGATTTTTAACATTACATTCATCTGCCATTGTAAATTGCTCTAGATAAACACGTATGGTAAATATGTAAGGATAAACATTGATCTGACAATTTGATAATTTTACTTGAAGTTTAAACTGCATTATAAATAAATAATAATACAATAAACACATTTAACTAAATCATCATGCTTGCTGGCATGTATTCTTGTACTACTCGTTTCACTGTGAAGCTTTGGTTTGAAATAAATTGTTAAAATCTTGAAATGCCCCAAAGAAAATTGTCCACTGTTTTTCTCCAAGGATTAAAAAACAACATAATTAGTGACAATGGGATGAACCGATTCCCAGAGAAAAAAGGGTCTCTTTACCAAAAGTGTCACTGTAAAACTGTGTAGAGCTCAACATACCAGGTCAAATAAATGTTAATGTCTGTTATAAACTTTAAATCAAATAGATTATCCTGAACGTAATGTCTTCTAATTACTGCAAATGACCAAAAAATGCTCATGTGCACTGGGGTCAGCGCAATACTTACATACTATTAGAAAACCCATAGAGGCACTAGAAAATTACGCATTATCATAGTGGCAGCAACACAGGAAGTAGAGATGTGGATGGGGATAAGTTTGATTTATGTTCATTGTAAGAGGCTGGCACTAGTTGTGTGAGTGTAGCTTGACTGAGCATGAGGTTTCCACACCTCACATCAACAGTCTGATTGGTCAATCCTGAGCTCAGATGCATAAAGTTCGTTGAGCAAGAGAGAGCAGAGACAGCAGGGAGCATCAGCGGATGCTATGTCATTCACATGCGTATATCTGTGTTATGATATGATATGTTCTGTTTCATGTTATCCAAACAACTGAAATGATAGATAGATAGATAGATAGATAGATAGATAGATAGATAGATAGATAGATAGATAGATAGATAGATAGATAAAAACATATAGTATTTAGCATGACATCATGGTGTGCGTCAACTATACACTGCAAATTTTTGACATGTGGCCCAAACCGAAGATCTAGCTCTGACAGATATACAGACCAGTCAATAAAAAGGGTGCATGCAATAACAAAAACAGCCTGTTTTAATAAAGGAAAAAAGCTAGATTAGAAAATGGTCATATAAAAATTAATTGCAGCTGTTTTTGGTACATAAAGCCACAGGAAAGTCATAAAACACAATAATAATGCAGGACACGGCCCTTTAAAAATAAACATACTGAGAGACAGAGCGAGGATAAGAGAAGACTAAATGGTACTGTGCATTTACAAGCATATAGTTGTTTACAAAAGGTACCTCAGTGACAAACATGCACTGTACAGATCAGTTGAAATATGAATAAATCATAAACCCCCAAACGAAACCCTGAAAAGTCTAATGCATGCATACTCACCATCCCAGCAGACCTGCTCACTCGAGCAAAGGCCTCCATCAAACAAACAGCCTGAGAGAGAGAGAGAGGGAGAGAGAGAGAGAGAGAGAGAGAGAGAGAGAGAGAGAGAGAGAGTTAGAAAGGACAATGCAAGGAGCAATAAGAGAAAGGAAAAAAAGACAGACTGAGCGTGAGATGGAGCGAGACAGATAGCAGATGACACGGGTCTCTTAGTAACCGATAGTGAGGAGGCAGACCACAGGTAATTGGCTCAGTGATGGAGATGAAATGCTGCGGCTTTAGGAGCGAGTGAGTGCGTATGTGTGTGTGATATGACTTGATAAGCGTTAGTGACCTTTAGGCCCACACAATATGAATAAAATTCCACATCATAGTGCTAGACACTACAACTTCAATATAGCTCAGCACTACCAATGTAAGGCTAACAAATGCTAAAAGAAAGCAAAAACCCATTTATTGAAACACATCATGGATCTTACAAAAACGTCTTTAGGGATCAATAAAGTTGGTGAAATAATACAGTGAAGAGTGCTTCTATTTAAGCTTTGACTTCACTTACAATTTTCCCTTTATCTTGCTGTATAAGCAGACTTATTCAGCTATTTGTTTTTAGATTATTTTAGGTTATTAGAGTATTTTCATATAGAGAAATTTGACAGTAAGGTAGGGGGAAAGTCATGGGCTGGAGGATAGGGGACCAGTCCTGTGACCGAAAGGTCACCAGTCCAATCCCCTGAGCTGACAGTATGTGACTGATGTGCCCTTGAGCAAGGCACCTAACCCCCAACTGCTCCCCGGGCGCTGCAGATAGGGCTGCCCACCGCTCTGGGCAGGTGCGCTCACTGCCTCCTAGTGTGTATGTGGTGTTTCACTGCATGGATGGGTCAAAATGTGGAGGTGAAAATTCCCTGTTGTGGGATTAATAAGGGTCACTTAATCTAGGTACACTGTTAGAAATAAAGGTTCTGTGCAGGCACATTTTTTGTTCATCAAGGTACAAACAATGTAAGTGTTCCCTCAAAGGTACAACAGTGGTTTTAAGGTCTGATTGTGAACCTTAAATAAGTTTTTCCAGGTGAAAAGTTTGTATTTGTACCTTTTCATATCCGAATGTTTTAAAACAGAACAATAAAATAAAAGCCTGGAGACGAGACGGGGTGTGTGGAGTCAGTACAGCTTAGAACATATCATTTCAGTGGATTATGGTACAGTTATGATCCCTGACTAAAGGTACTGAGATGGATCCTTGAGGGTCCCACCCCAGTGCCAGGAGGGGAACTGCCCCAGTGACAGTTTACTGCCTTCTCCATTTAGAGTGAAGCATCTCTGAACGTTTCTGAAGCCTAAACGATAGATTTTCTAATGTAGCCAAGCTGCCCATTTCTGTTTACCAGTGAGATGCAGATGGTGCTGTAGAGGCCCTCCACTCTCTAACAATCAATTTACAGCCTTGCATTAAAGCGGTGTGAGTCCAATCAGCCTCAGGGGGCTGTAGATCTGACAGAGTCGAAGGCTCCCCCAAGATGCACAATCCATGTGAGAACTCAATGTGTTTGCCCAGAATTTTCTCAGCACATTACTGAATTTCAGACTAGAAAAACTGTATATTAGGACACTCCCACATCAAGTGCCTGACTCCACAATGCCAAGAAGTGGACCTGTCTAGTAGGCCGATTCTATGTAGTCTAGACCAGGAGTTTACGGAAACACATGGTTCTTTTACTGCCCTGTTGTGGCTCCACAGCAGAATTAGATTTGTAGGTAAAAATAAAATAATCCTCCTTTACAGTAAAATAAAGCTCTGCTGATCGTTCAACACAGTTTAACAATAAATGGTCTTAAACACTGGAGTTAATGTAGAACTGCTGATTCACGCTTTAACTCTGAAGGTTGGCCACAGACTGCTGGTCACACAGCAGCACAGACAACAATCTCACCTAGCAGGTAGCTAACGAAAAAGGCAAAGAGGAAGATTTAAGCCGAACGAATGGACTTATTTGCATTTATCTGCAACAAGAAGCTATTAAACACAAAAAGCCACAAAGCTGAAATCAGCTTCTCACTTGCCAGCTTCTTGTTTGAATTTTTACATTCCACCTTAAATGGTGCAAAAGTTAGCTGCACAGTTAGCTACATTCTGGTGCCTCAGGCACCATTTAAGGTGGAACGGGAAAATTCGAACAAGAAGCTGGCGAGTAAGAATCTGACTTCAGCTTCATAGAAAGTCGAACATTGAGAGACATTTTTACAAGAAACTATTCTTTTTTGGAAAAGTTTCCTGCTAGAGATGTGAGAAAAGCAGCTATAGCTGTGCTAAAGCTTAAAGCAGTACAAAGTAAGTCTGCCTTTTCGTTTATATTATATTTTTTAGCCTAGACTAGGACATCAGCACATACTTAGACATATTTACAGCCAAGATGGTGAAACGTTACTCCAATAAAATGGAAATGAAATGCTGTGGCTCCCAAGGTGGTCAGATTTTTGTTGAAACTTGAAAAAAATGGCTCTTCTTAACGTTTGGGTTGCCGAGCATGATCTAAACAAAGTCCGATACACTGTTTATGATCTTAAACTTAAACTTACAGAGTGCTGTTAAAAGAAGAGGTGATGAAACACAGTGGTAAACAGGCCCCCGTCCCAATTTTTTGGAACATGCTGTTGGCATCAAATTCAAAATGGGCATATATTTTTCAAAAAACAATAAAATTTCTCAGTTTGAACATTTGATATGTTGTCTTTGTAGTATTTTCAATGAAATATTGGGTTTAAATGATTTGCACATCATTGCATTTTGTTTTTATTTACATTTTTCACAGCGCCCCAACTTTTTTGGAAATGGGGTTGTGTTTGTAAAGTTACATTTGTTCACTAACATAATGCTAGCACTATTAGCATATATGCTAGAAGCCAGAGAATGAATGGTTTTTGCTCATATTTTTATATTCTCAAAATAAAATGTACATTTTGCTTGACTGTATACATTATTCTGAGTCACTGTGTTAATCATTGTGAGTCGTCCATCAAAATATATCATATTCTGTATATATCTTATCCTACAGACAGATAGAAAAATAGTCCCCAAATAAAAACATTATTAACATTATATACAGTATAAAAACTTAACATAGTAAAGGAAATGTTTGGATTGTAGAAATTGCGCCCCCTGGTTCCTATCACCACCACTGTAAAGAAGTCACTTTCTCTACAATGAACCATTTCACATCAAACTACTCTGAGTGATGACTGAAATATGCAGACCTTTTGTTGAAAAATCAGTGGAATTTCTCTTTGAAATGAACGTTTTTTTCCTTTTCCTATAATATATCAGTGTATTGCATTGCAAAGGCCAGGATCACAACAACAACAACAAACCGTATATTGTGCAGCCCTGGAGACCTTTAAGCTTTTCCGCTACACAGAGAATCTCACTCTCGCACAATGTGTGACCGACCACCTGCTGCAGTGCAAACCATCCGCATATCGAGGGCACGTTTCCACTCAGCAACCAATCTGCAGCCTGATCTGATTTGCATAGACAGTGTGGAGCTTATCAGGCTCTGTCAATCTTCTGCTACCACAGCAACAGACAAGCAGTGCATGCAAACACATGGTCGTCATCCTGGAAAGAATCCGCAAGTGTTTGGTGTAAAACAAACAGAGACAGTTTGTTTTTTCTCTCGCTCCCTTTTTCCATTATTGTAAAATGAAATGTAAAGTCCATGTCTCAAATCCTGAGAAACACGAATCTCTCTCTTTAATCTCTCTCTCTCTCTCTCTCTCTCTCTCTCTCTCTCTCTCTCTCTATATATATATATATATATATATATATCAAGAAACATGCATTTAACAGAAAATCACAGAAAAGCATCCAGCACTAAGTACATTATCTCTAACAGTATTTTATTTGTCTACTCAACACAATTAAAAAAGATGGTTCTTCAAGGGTTCTTTAGTATACAACTATGAACGCTCAAAGAACCCTTTGCATGACTAAAGGGTTCTTTGCATCATGAAAGGTTTCTATAGAGTGATGGATAGTGTTCTGTAGATGGTTCCATATAGAACCTTTTTGAAAAGATTCTAAATAGCACCAAAAAGGGTCTTCTATGGTTACGAGCTTAACATCATAACAATAGAAGAACCTTTTCAAAAAGGTTCTATATGGAACCATCTCCAGCACACTATCCATCACTCTATAGAAACCTTTCATGATGCATAGAAACCTTTAATCATGCTAAGGGCTCTTTGAGTGTTCATAGTTCTATATAGAACCATTCTCTTTGCTAAAGAACCCTTGAAGAACCATCTTTTTTAGGTGTTCAGGTGTAGATAAGAAAAGAACAAAAAAGAAGAACATTTTGCACTAGAAAACCAAAACTGGACACAGACGAGACCTCAGCATTGCTGAATGAGTTTGGTCTACAAAATGCAACCAACTTGTAAGAATGAACTGTAGAGATGTGGAAATCATCCCTGCAGATTTCTTGAAAAAACTGAAAGCAAGGACCAATAAAAAAATGAAAATTGTGATGAATGCAAAAGGTGGACACGATAAAAATACATAAAAATGATATTATGTTTCGTTGCTGAGTCTTTCAAATCCATGTTTTTTGCTTTTTTCTCACACTAAAAAATGAATAACGTGTACTTTTTTGGAAATGTAAGGGTGGTCTCTTACTTTTGCACAGTATCTTAACCTCAGTGCCAAAAAAGAAATGGTTCTGTCCTTTCACAGTTAAAAAAAAAATAAAAGAACTTTATGAAGTCAGGTCCATTTAGCTGGTCCTGACGTTGTACGCTGTTTTCATGTTTTCGTCCTGAAAATGTAGGAAAACAAACACAGATACACACGCCATGCATAATTGAGTCAGAGCCCTAAACGTGGTTATGAAAGTGGGAGTTCCCTGCTGATTTTCTCTGTCTTTAAGTCTGCAGAGGGAGCCTCCTCTGCTCCTTCTCTCCGCTCTGCCGGGGCTTCCCGAGGGAGTGTGTGGATGTGTTTGGAAGTGTGTGTGAGGGAAGGAGACAAAAAGTGAGAGAGAGAGAGAGAG